GCTGGAAAGACACGAACATTGAGGTCCTGAAACAGAGTGCGAAAACGAATCACAGGAAACTCACCAAGCTAGTGCGCAAGTTCAGGGCGGTACTTAGCCAGCCTGTATCCAGCATCACGAAGGCGGGTTTCCCTGATGAAACCCACCCTTTGCAGGACGTTTCCTTGATGGCAGTCAGCACAACCGTCAACCCTGCAGCACTTGAAATTTGCGAAAGTGGTGTACCAGGATGGATGGAGCGACCAGCGCGTTTCAAGAATTTGGGAGTTACTACGTCCATGATGCGCAATCTTGCTACACCGAAGGCAGATTCTGTGGATGGCGCTTTATACATTAACGAGTTCATCAGCGAGCTCTTGAAATCTATTGTTGAGCTTCAGAAAGCCACGCCGACCACCCTCACCGAAGAGAACAAGGCGTCTGTTCAGCATCTTAAGACACAAAAACGCAAACTCTATGCCGACACAATGAAGGAATTGCGTCAAATGGGTATCAACTCTAATCTGAGTATAGATACGCTGGTCAAGCAGGATGAGCTCTCGACTATTCTTTCAACGATGCCGCTAGTCCGGTGCAACCATGATATTGGACGAGTAGCAGACTACCATTTACACAAAGCTCTCAACATTATGTCACAAGTCCGTGCAGTCACTAGGGAGCATTCTGGTGACCTGACTCCGAACGATGTGGCAAGAAGCATTGGCTATTTGGAGGGTTTGCTGCATGCATCTCTCAGACAGCGTACGATACTAAGTAGAGCTGCGCAAGGCCTTGAGCAGACCCGTATTCCGCTTTCCTCGATTGCAGAGCTTAGTAACCCGGATCTTGGAAATATTGCTTGGGTGCACGAAGAACATCTCGAAGCTGCCACATTTACCCAAACTCGGCTTCGGTGGCTCTCTGCTATGTTGACAACCGGTACAGAAATTGCCAATGCGCAGGCAAAACTTGGAAAGACCAACGACATTGACCGTCTGATCCGCCAGATGCGAGAGAAGGCTGCCAAGACCTCTGAGCTTGCAGACTTGCGTGACCGACTCCCAAAGTTACCTCCTAATCTTCAATCTGAATCGCATGAAGCTTTAGGAAAGTCCATCAATACTCATTTGGCGGATCTTCGGAACGCTTTCCAGGAATGGCATGCTGGTAGTGACATGATAAAACCAATCCTTCGGCATATCGAGCCATTCTTGTTCAGCTATCCTCCTACGGACGTTGCTCAACTTCTAGAGAACTCACAGGCCACACTCGATGTTCATGTAAAAGAAGTTTTCTCTTCTTTGGATCTTGTTCTGGGATCAATGCAGGATATCGAAGTAGCGATGCAGACCATCCCCGCTTCAACGGACGACGCTTCTTGGCTCGTCAAAGAAGAACAAGCACTTTCTGCTGCTCTCAATTCCCTGCATGCGCCACAGATCAGCGAAAGCCTAATGTCGATACTCAACAAGATCCAGCTACTCTACGAGAACGCCAATCTGAAATCTATGGCAGCTTTGCTCTCTTCTGTCCAGCCAATTCTACAGCAGTACAGGGCATGTCACAAATCCATCTTGAAGCGCTTTGATGCATTGCATGCATCAACAACAAATCTGTTGCATCGTTTGTCAAAGTCTTTCATTCAGATTGGAACGCAAGGCTTTTGTCAACCTTCGGAAAAGTCCGACGACAACCAAAAGGGCAAAGATGACAAGCTCGAGTCTGGAACCGGTCTGGGTGAGGGCGAAGGTGCTGAAGATATTTCCAAAGACATTGAAGATGACGAAGATTTGGATGATCTAGCGCAAGAGCAGAAAGGCGAAAGAGAGGGCAGTATCGAGGAACAAGAAGATGCCGTTGACATGGGAGACAAGGAAATGGAAGGTGAGAGCGAACAGGTTGAGGAGAAAGAAGAAAAGGGCGATGAGTCCGGTGAAGAAGGGGACGACGATGCGCAGAGCGAAGTTGGGAGTGTTGATGATCTTGGCCCTAGCGCTGTCGACGAGAAGATGTGGGATGATGGCAGTAAAGAAGAGGACGCGAAAGACAAGGAGGGCAAGGATGATGTGGGTACGGAGGATCAGAACGAGCAGGTTGCTTCCGATCAGAAAGAAAAAGAAAAAAGCGGCGAAGAGGGCGAAGAGGAGGAGAAGGACAATAAGAAAGACGGTCAAGAGGACGAAGAGATGGAAATGGAAGGTGAAGACCAGGAAGAGAATGTCGGCGCTGGTGAGACGGAGCAGATGGACCCGAACGCGAAGGAAGAGGAGACACTGGACCTCCCCGAAGATCTTAACATGGATGGGCAAGACGACCAAGACAAGAACGACGACGACCTTGGCGATATGGACATGGATGATGATCTTCCTGAAGATCAACCAGATCTTGAGGCCGAGCCGGATCGTCCTGATACCATGGATGAACAAGTTCTTCCTGAACAGGAGAGTGAAGAAGAAAAGGAAACAACCGGTCACATCAATGATGAAGAACAACCTGAAGGCGAACAAGAAGAAGAGGTTGATGAGCTAATGGACGATGACGCCGCTCCACTGCCAGATGATAATGTTCCAGAAGACGAAAAGCGTGATAAAAAAGACACGGATCAGACCGATTTGAATGCCGAGGCTGGCGCTGGCATCGATGCAAATGAAGAGGCACACAAGAACAAAAACGAACAAGCCTCTGCTAGCGCTGCGAATCAAGATGAAGGCCAAGAAGGAGATTCTGCCGAACAGCAACAAGCACCTACGACTGAAGAAGGCCAACTTGGAGAGACAACAGCCCCAGAAGCTGGTGGTCACGGCGAACAACCTGAAGAAACTCGCGAGAAGCAGTCTTTCAAGAAGCTGGGCGATGTACTGGAAAAATGGTACAATCAGCAAAAGCAGATTCAGGATGCCAAGGAAAAGGACGAAACTCAGACACAGCAGATTGATAAAGAGATCGACATGGCCGATGCGGACTTTGAGCATCTTGGAGACGAGGAGCAACAAGCCGATACTCAAGCTCTGGGTACCGCGAACGAGGATCAGGCTAAGGCTTTGGACCATGATATGGCAATGCCCATGAATGAGGAAGAGGAAAAGATGCCCATTCGGCCTGAGGACAACGACGATGAGTTGACGGGAGCTGACAAGGATGTTGATATGGAGGATGCCGAATCGCAGGATGATCAGAACCAGGATCAAGAGGCACAACAAACGCAGTCCAATGCAATGGAAGGCCAGCCGCAAGCCTTTGTCGGAGAGCAACGCCCACTGCCTGAGCACGATGATGAGGAGATGGCTGATGCTGCCACACTCGACGATGACGTTGCATCAACCACTTCTTCTGCCGATAACATCGAGACTCAGCTATCTCTAACACATCTTGACCCGTCTTCCATGGACCCAATATCTGCTCGCGCCCTCTGGCTCGCTCATGAGTCGTCAACCCACTCGCTCTCTCAACAGCTTACCGAACATCTCCGCCTCATTCTTGCACCCACCCTTGCTACCAAGCTTCGCGGTGACTTCAGAACCGGTAAGCGCCTCAATCTCAAGCGTATCATTCCATACATCGCATCAGGCTACAAACGAGACAAGATCTGGCTTCGACGCAGCATGCCAAGCAAGAGAAGCTACCAAGTCATGATTGCGCTCGACAACAGTGGCAGTATGGCCGATAGCGGAGCTAGCAATCTCGCGCTCAAAACCCTTACGCTCGTCACTCGCTCTCTTTCAATGTTGGAAGTTGGCGAAGTGAGTGTTGTTGGATTCGGCGATGAAGTTAACGTCGCCCATGATTTTGACAAGCCTTTTACATCCGAAGCTGGAGTACGGGTTTTCGAACAATTCGGCTTTGACGCGAAGAAAACAAATGTAAGAGGCTTAGTTGACAAGAGTCTGGAGTTGTTCAAGGATGCCAGGCAAAAGGGCAGTAGCTCTGCTGGCGAAGACCTTTGGCAATTGATGCTCATCGTCAGTGATGGCATCTGCGATAATCACGCCGAGATCCAACGTCTTATCCGCAAAGCCCAAGAAGAGCGCGTAATGATTGTCTTCATTATCATTGATAGCTCAGCTGCAGCACCTTCTGTATCCGTGCCAAAGCCGTCTGATGATCCCGCAGCGCAGCCACCAGCGCCAGTCAAGGAGCAAGCGAAGACCTCTATCCTAGACCTGGAATCAGTCGTTTTCACGCCTGAAGGCAAAATTGTAAGGCACAAGTATATGGAACAGTTCCCATTCAGGTATTACCTGGTCGTTAGGGATGTAAGAGAGCTGCCGGGTGTGCTTGCTGGGGCTTTGAGGCAGTGGTTTGGAGAGGTTGCAGGGAGTGTATGAGTGTCATGACATCTATCGCGATCCCTCAAATCTGAAGGTTACTTAGAGTTGAAGCACTTTCTGGAAAAGTAGTGGTAATCATTTAGGAGTACGGAGGGCCATATGGGTTCGGGATAGCATGATTTGCATTTTCAGGCGTTCTGCAGCAACTATCTTACTGTCAACATTTTCCTTGCAAGGCTTAGTACTAGTACATAAATTTAGTATGATATTGAAATAAGTTCAGCTTACACCATTGGGGGCCACGCGTAACGAGATACATACTTTACCCGAGCAGCTGTCTGTTGGTATCAGGCTGATTCGCTCTTGCCCCACTCAGTGTAACCATCGGTCTATGTATATCAACAGACGATTGCACCTGCCAGAATCAATCAAGCTATGACGTCCTTGCTTATCCCCTTCGTTATTTTTGTCAGCATTGCAACCCTTTACATCCCCGATTCTATTGCTACGATAAAAAACCTCCCAACCAGTGTTCGGGAACCTGCATCCCACTAAGACGCAGTGGCCAACGGGGCTGTCCGGCATCCAGCGTTCTGGCTGTGGTGGGTGCCTGAATTTACGCTTGTATCAGCCTGACACCATGCCCTTCGTGCATTTTGGTTTTCTTTTCCGTTCCCCTGACTTCTTCTTCAAAAGACACAATCCGCTCCAATCTTGTGGCACCATCTCGAGAATCATCTAAGCTCCGCCAAAATGGCAGAGCTAGCAACGATCGCTACTGTCGTTCAGCTGGCCGACTTGGCCCTGCGGATGAGCGGCGAAGTCTGCAAGTTTCTCGATGCTTACAAGAGTACGAACCGCGATGTAAAATTGTTGTGGGATGGTACGATACGCACTCAATTATATGGACGACTGACTTACAGTCGCAGTATTGCGTGATGTTGAAGCCAATGTGCGCAACTTGCGTGGGTACGTCGTACGGTTTCGAAACGTCAAAGGCGTGTTCGACGAATTTGAGGATCTCTCTGAGACCATCATTTGGGCGTTGGAAGACTATGATGCCGATATCCTCGCGGTTAAAAAGCTTCTACCTCCAAAGCCGCTAGAACACATTTCAAAAAAGGTTCACTGGGTACTGAAGAAGCGCGAGATACAAGAGGTCATGAATCGTATAAGCCGACGGAATTCCAGCCTCATTGTTGCTCTGGAGATCATGGGAAGGTAACAAAACTGTCCTTCTCATCCATATTTGCTGACCATGTACAGGCAGCACAGCTTACACATACATCAGGATACGCAAAAGATTCTCGCAGAACAAAGCCACTCTGATATTTCCGCTTCGTACAATTTCGCGACAGTAAACTCGAACATGCAGAAGCTGGGAGAAAATCATGCAAAGCTGCTGTCACATTCCAAAACTATCGTCACCAGCATCCATGACATGCAAGCTTCATCAGATCGCCAGCATGAAGCGCTCACTTCGGTAGCTACGCAACAAACTAAACTCACGAATCGTAGGCTGAAGCGTGTGCACGCGGCGGGTTCGCTACTAGCCCGCAATACCGAGCAGGCTAACAACAAACTTAACAAACTCAGTTCACAAGTGCAACAGACTTCAATACGAACAGGGCAGAAGATTGATTACATGGCCGCTGAAATAAAAGCCGTTCATTCGAAAACCACGTTCGTAGCCTCAAGTGTCGACACCATCGCAAAAATAGTCCGCGAGGAGATTACCAAGACACTCAAACCTCTTATTGAACAAGGATTCGATAACATGGGAACGCGAAGAGAAATGGAGCTAATGCGACTCAAGGAGTTCCATGGTATGATTACACACGACATAGGTTTCGACACTTACGCCCAACGCACGCTTGGAGCGAATGAATCAGATGTACTGAGCAACACATGCTCAGAGAGTCCTCTGATCAAAACAGAAAATAATCCATCATCGGAGATGCAACACAAACCATATCTTGACAGCTGGCTCAATACGAACTATGATGGCGAAAATCTTCTCTACACTACATCCACGTGCAAGCGCAGATGGTACTATAAGTGCAGCTCAGGGAATCTCGAAATCCACGTTACATATACGAACCACCGTACCGGCGGATCACCAGAATCAGAAAGTCATAAGTCTGTCGAGGTTCACTTTTGGCCGACCCAGAAGTTCATCAGTGTTCCTGGACTTTCTCTCTTTTACAGTACAGCACCAACATCACAAGGGTACTATCAGCTAGCCCCCATGGTGGCAAGTTTTCCCATAATCGGTGAAGATCATCCAGTTACATCGGTCATTGAATCTGGAAATCTTGCGGCGCTTAAATCCATGCTGAGAACCGGACAAGTTCGCCTGAACAGCCGTCAAATCGATGGCTCAACCCTGCTACATGTACGTGTTTTTAGGTTACACTGGCCAAATCTCTCTCTTCTCAAGCATGCTATAACCTCAATCCATGTCGTGGTCAAACACAGTGCAACAAGGCGCTGGGCCGTACAGGTAAATGTTCGTAGTCCGACTACATCGGGATGGTCGGGCTACTCCGTGAATAGGAAATTTACATTGGTAAAAACTAGGAAGACTCACTAATACTACCAGTATAGACTGCTGCATTGCATGGGAAATATGACATTTGTGAGTTCCTTAGCGGTCAAGGACTTTCTTGGTTCCAGAAAGCAAATAATGGGCTCAGCGTTCGAGGACTATCTTGGTTTCAAAAAGCAAACAATGGGTAAGTCACGAATCTCATATGTTCCAAATTTTCACTAAAATACGGCAACACACTTATATCACATCAGTCTATCGAGAATATCGCAGGGACCAGTGGAGATACCTGCAACTCCACTCACCTACCTTTTCGCATACAATAGTCCGGATCAAGCTCATGGGCTCCTTAAATATCCGCGGAAAATTCTCAAGTATTGCGATACCGTTGGGTGTAAGGTGGAGTACATTTATGGATACATGCATTCATGCTTATGTTTCATGGATTCATCTGAGATCTTTTTTGAGCGTTTGTATTTCGAACTGGAGCAAGAGATTGAGAATCGATGGCCGGGTTATCAGGATGAGTATAGGAATTTCGTTCTCGAGGGTCTTATCCTCAACCAACCAAGCAAAAATACCCTGAAAGCAATCTCCTGCATGCGCCGGAACCGAACGAAGCCAGATGCGATCTCTCAAGATTATCGCGCCCCACTGGAGGCTGCGTTGCGCCAACTTCAGACATGGTCTCGATCGCATAATCCAACAAACCTGTTTTCGGAGGCCGTACTAAATGTGGTGTTTTTGATAGTTTTGGGTGCGGAAATTTATTTCACCAAACCGGGCAGCTTTGATAGAGCAGAGCACTGGACAGACTTGGTTACATATTCCCAGAAAGCAATGGAGATCAGGTATTTCCATGGGTGGAGACTGGCATTGGAATGGAGCAGACTGGACCCCGACTACGTCTTTCTGGAAGATCAACGACGCCGGAAACAGGCCTTCAGACTGCGCGGCGCAACTCGGTCGGGAATAGACGAATCAATGTTGGACCCCCCATCCATCAACGGACTTCGCTGCCGTCGATGCAGTCGGAGATACTGCAACAACCACGATCGTTCGTTCTTCAAAGCAATCGCGACGCATGGAATAGATTGGGCGCCGGCACCGAATGAAGTTTCTGAACTATTCAAAACCGAATGAAGACTGTAGGAGGGGTGCTACACAGTTATCTTTTCCATCTAGGTGTCAGAGCCTGTATTGAGCACGTTATCATTCGACTTGTTCCAAACACAATATCTGATTCAAAAGCAATTAACTAGATACAATGATCGCACAGTCAAGGGTGTGGCTATTCTAACACATTTCTTGTGGTATTTCTCTTATGAGATCGTTTCCTCGTGTTTCGCCCGCGCATAAAGCCTGGAGGAAGACCAATCCAAGATGGAGGGGGGCAGATTTGGGCATCGTCGACTCAGTGTTTCCGAATTACGGATTCCGAAAATACGTTTTGAACCACGCATCCACACTCTTCAATTATCGAAGTCGGTGCAATAGTGGATTTTTAAAATCATATTCGTGTGAGCACATGCAGCCATCCATCAACATGGTACCGATAGACGAGGGCTTCGACCGGTTCTTTCTTTCTATCCATCAGCAGAGAAACAGAAATTTATGAAGCAACTTTAATAACTGCTCGTCCAGCGAGCTTTCCGGCGCCCATATCTGCGAAAAACCTGTCGATATCCTCGAGCCCTCCGTACGTCAAGATAGGACGCACAAGCCCCCGGGCTGTAAAATCGAGAGCCTACAATACACGTTAGCACCAATCATCCACAAGACTCTGTGTCAAAATTGGGTATACCTCTTCAACCTCTTTCAGCGTCCCTGTCACACTGCCTACGACATTCAACTTCTTCGCGCAGAGCAGCAGCGGCGATGCGCCCGCCACAAAGTTGGGATCCTTTGGTAATCCCACACATACCATAGTACCACCGGGTCTGAGCAGATGCGGTGCAGATTCGTACGCAGCATTGGTTGCAGGAAAGACAAGAATGCCATGGGCGCCGTACTGCGTAATCTTCAAAACCTCAGACGTGATATCTGCGCAAGTTGTAAAATCAATAAACTTCTCTGCACCCAGTTTGAGACAAAGATCGCGCTTAGCGTCACCACCGTCAATGGCGATGACACGCATGCCCATATGCTTTGCATATTGAATGCCAAAGTGGCCAAGGCCACCTCCGGCGCCTGGAATCACTACCCACTGTCCCGGGCGTACATTGCTTCTCTTGCATGCCACGTACGCAGTCACGCCGCCGCACATGATTGGCCCTGCTTCTTCGTCTTTAACGCCGTCAGGAAGCTTAGTCGCATAATGGCCGTCTGCAACGCAATATTCCTGGAACGTTCCCGCAACATGGAAGCCACTATTCCGCAGCTTGGGACAAGCACATTCGTCTTGTCCATTTGTGCAAAACTCGCATCTGCGACATACAGATGCGACCCACTTGATACCCGCGCGATTCCCAATTTGCCAGAGGTCCTTGACATTAGAGCCCACGGCTACAACGGTGCCTGCGCCTTCGTGGCCGCAAATGCCATTTGTGGCTTCAGTCATTGTGATGGGCCATTCGTCGTATAAGAGAGATTTATCGGTCGCGCATAATCCAGTGTAGTTGATCTTGACGAGGACTTCGTCGGGCGAGGGGGCAGGGACAGGGACGTCCTTGATAACAATGGTGGTTTTGTCGCCAGAACCTTGCTTGACGGCCGCCTTTTGCGTAGTTGGGACTTCCATTTTGGATTCGCACTGGTATGTTCGGAAGAAGAAGAAAAAAAGAAACAGAATGTAAAAAGAGAAAAAGACGAAAGTCAGAAAAAAGCAGATACTCTACTTCCTGGAAATGAGCCTCACTTTATCAAATCCCCCGACGCACTTCCCCACAAGGAGGCTCCCATTAGCTCTCCTCCATACCAGGATCATGGATCTGACAAACCCCCATCCATATGCGGGGCAAAAAAAAACGTGCGCAGAATACCCCGTGCTTGGCAGCGTCAGGGCTGACTGTAATGGCGCCTGGTGTAAAAGTAAACTAGTAACGCCCCCGCTACCGTCTCGGCAGTGGAAAAAAGATAAGCAAAAGTCACATATCCCACGTGTTTCCCCTTTGCCGTACCCAACATCCGGACGCCCTCGTGACCGCGCGGCAGTGTGGAAATTTCGGACTCATTTGGCCGATGCTAATATGACGGGCTGGCAGTTGGTAAATAACGCATTTTCAATGGGCTTGTGGAGAGGGGAGTAGGGTTTTGCAGGTACCAGGATGTTGGAGGTTGAATACCTTGCAGTACCTCAATACCCGAGTGAGCCTGGAATGAATATTGCGGAGACCCCAGATTGCCGGGACCCCGGATTGTGAATTGGCAAGCGAGGTCCGAGGGGGCTAGTAAAATCACGGGAAATGCCGGAATTTTCATACTCTGACCTTGAGTAAGCCAAGGGTGATACAGATACATCATATTCATCTCTTTTCAATTGTCGTTACTCTATATGCTTTTGGCAACGGTGGTATCTGACGAGGGGTTGAACCTCGGCTCTTTATCAAACAAAGAGCGTGTCATAATCATACAGGTTTCTTTCAAGCATATGCCGAAAACTGCATGCCAACCGATGCAGCAAATCCAATTTTCCTGAAAAAAAAACGCCTCGCTAAAACCCCATGATTGCGCTTTTTCTTACCACGCCGTGATATCGTCGACTTCTGCTTCGCCAAAGGTACTGGTTTTGGTGGCAGCCATGTCCGTGTCAGGTGTGGCTGTGTCCAGAGTTGGCGTCCTATTCATGATCTCTGGTAGCTCTGCGTTCAGGAAGCCAAGCAGATGGTTGTTGACCTGCTCAAATTCTAACAGGAAGGCATCATGCCCATCTGGTGAATCTATAGTCTTCAGCGACGCATTAGGGATATATGCGGCTAATTCTTGTTGTTCGGCAAAGGTAAAAAGACCGTCTGACTGGATACCGAGCACAAGTGTGGGTTGCTCGATCAAAGATAGCGCATGATGGAGGGCCGACACGGGGTCCAAGGTTTCGGGTGTCTCTCCGTCAGGGTACCGGTAGCGGGAAACATCGTGTGTGTCTAGTTTCCTGGTGATGGCGATGTAACAGTTTGCATCGAACCGCTTGATGAACTTTTCGCCCTGGTAGCGCAGATAAGACTGTGCAGAAAAGTAGTGTGGCGCGAGAGATTTCGATGAGCGCGGGAATCGCTGATTACTGCTTGTTGAGTCGGATCTTTGGGGTGATTGTGCAGCGACGTTTGAGGCATCGTGAAACTCAAGGTCGGTGTGCGCTTGTGCAGTGCCAGGTATGGCAGTACTGCTGTTCGTTCTTGATAAGGACCTTGGTGAACCGGCATTCTTATGTCCGTCGTTGTGTATCGCCCAGTGCTCGTACGAGGGATTCGACGGAGTAGTCGGGCGTGCTACGTTATTGATATTCTGTTTCTTAGACAGATCAGGGGTGTTCCGTCCAAACCTCGATTCGAATGAGTCGCGACTCCTGTAAGTCAGTAGTGCGGACATGCGCGCTGCTCCAAGACCAGTGGAGGGAGGGTCATCGTAGGAGTAGTATCCATCCTCGTACTTGGGATCGCTGTAGATGCTCTGTCGTTGCGCTTCACCCCAACTGATACCCCACGCACTATAACGGGCGGATGTGGCAATCGCCACTATTGTCTTCACATAGTCCTTTCCAAAGTATGCAAACTCAAGAACAAGCATGCCGCCCATAGAGCCTCCGATCACTGCAGCGATCTGCTTCACGCCGAGGTCGTCCAAGAGAAGTTTGAAGATGCTGTTCTGGTTAACAGGTTTCTTCGATAGCCAAAATGGGTTGCTCGGCTCACTTCACATCATCTCGTACTGTTGTCAATGGGAACTCGGGGCCATAAGGACCCAATGACACATCCCCATCTTTAGCAGTGACTGGACTGGCGCTACCGTATGGGCTTCCGAGACTGTTCATGCATACGACAAAGAACCGCGAGATATCGAAGGCCTTCCCTGGACCTCCAAGCAATGGCCCCCACCAGTCCCCTACGTCAGCGCTGCCTGTTAACGCATGACATATCACCATGGCATTGTCTCCGCCGGGTGCTAGGGTTCCATATGTCTTGTATGCAACATTGACGTTTTGTAACACGACGCCGGACTCGAGAGTGAATTCTGGAATTACAGCGATGGTTTGGTCGGGGATGAGTTTGGCGTAGGGGTTTTCGGGCTGTGACGACACTCTTTCTATGGAAATGTTAGTTTTTTTTCAAGTCAAGGAATACTGCAGCAAGGGAACTGTAGGGTCAAGTAGTGCGGTTACGCAGCAGCAATGAATTAAGTTGTAGGTGGTCGAATCCGTGTTCTATAACACTATGACATGCGCTGTGCTTCAGGCTGCATCTCACAACCTTTGCGATAATAAAAAAGTATTTACAAGCGACTTACTGTACTTGTGCGACCCACTGGTCGTTCCATTATCCAATTCTGAAGTGCCCATATTTGTAGTGTTTATAGGTCGTGAAACAAGGAATGTAAGGCCTGCAAGGCAGGTGGGGGCGTATTAATCACATTGCGGGGAGTCATTCCTTTGGTGTTGATGCTCGCAATCTGCCGCTAAACGAGGGTTTTGAGGTCTTGGCGATGACGTGATCCCATCTGTTCATGCAGCAGAGACCCTGGCTCATCTGATTTGTACTAAACTTCTTCGTGTTACTCGGTTTGTGTGTTTGCAACTGCAACCTGAAGGTTGAGATCCCTACATCGTTGCATTCCAGTTAGGCTTTTTGGCATGCTGCAGCCTTGACATGGCTATTAGCAGGTGATGGGTTGGGGTTGAATTTTGTATCCAACGTATGAGATTCAAAACTAATATGATGTTCTATATGATGTCTAACCAATATCGAGAACATATCGCTGCTTGAGCTGTGTATATTGGGCAGATGTGTAGACGTCAATTGGGTTGAAAATAAAATACTCATGTGCTCGTTGAATCATGATACCTTCCTACTCACTCAATTTGACGGAACTGGGTTTTTTCTTTTGATATATTCGCATGCTCACAGAAAGTCCCATGGTAGAACGCTTTCAACTAGCTTTCCCCAAGGCCCGATAGGAATCAAAATGAAATAGAATCAACTTTTAGAATCTGAATGTGAGTAGGCGATGTAGAGAGTGTAGAGGCCAAAGAAGATGACCAGATCACGATCTGGTAGCAGATAGATGAGCAAACACCTGGATTCATTTCTTCCTAGAGCAAAACCAAGTGTGGTTGAACCCTGTTGTTGCTCAAGAGTGCATCGTTTTCGAATCAGTCCGCGCCAGACGCTAAACCACATATGGCTCCTGTCCTGCGCTAGCTCTTTTTGCTGCCATCGCATCGCCATCTTAGTAACATCAATCATCGTCCATATTGACATGCAATGCGACGGGTAGTAGTAACAGGCTTAGGGCTTGTGACACCTTTGGGACTAGGTAGTATGCCCCGATTCATCAGCCAAGCTCTCCACTAATTTTGCAGGCGTCCGCCAAACGTGGAAACGCCTAATCGATGGCCACTGTGGCATCGTTTCTATCAAGGACCGCAGCCAAGATTTTGCCTTGCTTCCGAGTCAAATAGCCGGCATAGTACCACAGGGATCGAAAGATGAGGGTAAATGGAATTCAAAAGAGCATTTAAGCCCTACTGTAGGTCCTGTGTAGTTCTCGCATGACTACTCGAACTGTCACTGACAATAAAACAGGACGAGCGTCGCATGGCACGATTTGCTCAGTATGCCATGGTGGCTGCTGAAGAAGCTTTACAGGATGCTGGATGGGACCCAAAGAATGATAAAAGTCTCGAGGCCACGGTACTAACGCACCGGTACTGTTTGTATAGACTCTACTTACATAGTCATAGGGTGTCTACATGGGCTCCGGAATCGGTAGCTTAGACGATGTATACGACACTACTGTGGCATATGAAAAAGGTGTAAGTGGACAATCCCTTCTCATGCCATAAAAAGCTGAATTATTAGGGCTACCGGAAGGTCTCACCACTATTCGTACCACGACTATTGATCAACCTCGCGGCTGGCCACATCTCAATGCGCTACGGTTTCAAGGTGAGTTGTTTATGTTGACCTGCGGTGATCTCACTAACGGTCCAATGAAGGGACCAAACCACGCCGCAACCACAGCATGCACAACTGGTGCGCACAGCATTGGGGATGCTTCTCGCCTGATTCAGTTTGGGGATGCAGATGTCATGATCGCCGGTGGGTCTGAATCTTGCATTCATCCGCTCGCCATTTCAGGTTTCGCCAGAGCTAGAAGCCTTTCCACTGCATTCAATGACCGGCCTGCTGATTCAAGTCGTCCATTTGACAAACAACGCGATGGCTTCGTTATCGGAGAGGGGGCTGGTGTTGTGGTTCTTGAAGTACGTCTTTCTGTACCACAGCCTGTGTTGATCTAACGAGTGCAGGAGCTTGAGCACGCACAAAGAAGAGGTGCACGCATCTATGCTGAAATTGCTGGCTATGGACTTTCCAGCGATGCATACCACATGACAGCACCTCGCGAGGACGGACAAGGCCCACGTCTCGCTATGAAGAATGCTTTACGACATGCTGGCATCAAGCCAAGTACCGTCGATTACATTAATGCTCACGCCACAAGTACACCTCTAGGTGACGCCGCTGAGAACAGGGCTATCAAAGCACTCTTACTAGGTGAAGGAGGGAAATCATCAGCCTCTGAGATCAACGTTAGCAGTACGAAAGGTGCTGTCGGACATTTGCTCGGCGCTGCTGGTAGTGTGGAAGCAATCTTCACAGTGCTGGGCATACATCATGTGGGTTAAGCGTGGAGCTGCAGCGGTACAAAGGCTAACAACTTGTAGAACATCCTCCCACCAACCCTAAACCTCATTGACGCTGGAGAACCGGCTTCTGAATTCGATTGCAATTATGTGGCGAATGTTGCTCAGCAACACAAGATCAGCGTCGCGCTCTCGAACAGTTTCGGTTTTGGGGGCACCAATGCTTCGCTCTGCTTCCGTAAATTGTAAACATACAAGGCCTCGTCACAGGGAACTGACAGGAAGGAGGTTTTCTCAGTAACGGTCTTGCCAAGTCCATATTAGCTAGTGCATTGAGGTAATTCTATATAAGAGTGACGATGGGTAAGCTACCCCACTACGTAGGCCCGGTCTTTCTCTGATAAGAACTATGAACCCCACTCGCTAGCGCCATTACATCCAATGAACCACTTCCGGAAACCGCACAACATCTCCCCCCTCTTCCCCATTTTCTGCATCCCTTTCATAGAAGTCTGCTCAATTTCTTTAGTCGTCCTGAAGCCCAGTTGCGGCTTTCAATCCAGTACTGACGGCTAGAGCGATGACGACTTTACAGGGCGTGCATATTGCGGGCGGCAATAGTGGAGACCCAGAGAGCCAGTCATCCTTCTTCCGCAAAGCCTCAAAAAAAGCTACAGAATATCACTCACAAACTCCATACCTCAGGCGGCTTCCCTTTCCCGCAATTGCCATAATTGTCACTCTCATTGTCGTCAACTTGCTTGTTTGGGCAGCAGTCGGTATCGTTTTGGTAGGTGGAGAATAATTTTACAGGTGAACAACAAGAAGTACTAATCTCTAGAAGCACTGGCACACGCCGCTTATCTCGACAGCTATACTGTCGTATACCCTGGGTCTGCGCCATGCCCTAGATGCAGACCATATCTCGGCTATCGATCTCATGACTCGTCGCCTAATAGCTGCAGACCAACGGCCAGTCACAGTAGGCATGTTCTTCAGTCTCGGACACTCGACAGTAGTGATAGCCACATCTCTGGTCGTTGCTGGTACTGCTGCTGCGGTTTCAGATAAGTTTGACAATTTCGAGCGTATCGGCGGTATCATTGGGACATCCGTGTCTGCAGCTTTCTTACTCCTACTTGGCATCATGAACATGTACATTCTGTATAAGCTCGTTGTTCAGATGCGTAGGATGATCGCCAGTGATCCCGGAGGTGAACACGAAGAGTTCAAAATTCAGGGTGGCGGATGCTTATTCCCGCTCTTACAAAAGCTGTTTAAGCTAGTCGACCAGCCTTGGAAGATGTATCCTCTCGGGGTGCTCTTTGGGCTGGGCTTCGACACATCTTCTGAAATTGCCATATTGGGTATCAGCTCAATTCAAGCAACAAAAGGCACTTCAATATGGCTGATTTTAATCTTCCCGCTACTGTTCACGGCGGGCATGTGTCTACTGGATACGACAGACGGCGCACTGATGATGAGCCTGTATACGAGTACCCAACTTGCACGCGATCCGATAGCAATTTGCTACTACAGCATTGTCCTCACAGTCATCACAGTCATTGTTGCGACAATCATCGGGACAGTTCAGTTCCTCAACCTAGTTCTCAATGTTGCTGAACCCCAAGGCAAGTTCTGGGACGGTGTAGAAAAGCTGGGCGATGCATGGGATATTGTTGGTGTGTATTATGCTTTGCGCGATGTGCAACATCGTACTGACATCATATAGGCGGGGCAATATGTGGTACGTTCATTGTCTTTGGCGGCCTCAGTGTTTTATTATACAAGCCATGGAGACGACGCATTGACAATAAGAGAGTTACCAACGCACATTTCGAGCCCCTATCGCAAGATCAGGATACTCCACAGGCTGGCGAGGGTGAGCCCCATGACATACAAGAGACGAGCGTGGCACTCGCCAAAAACATGGATGCGCATGTGGAGCCTGTCGAGGCTACTGATGCCGCTGGTCCTGCACACCGATGATGAGTCCATGTGATCCTGGGCACAACATGAACAAATAGGTCAAAAAGTATTTGGGATTCATAACTAGATTTGGAAAGATCACTTCAGTCCGATGGACTCCAATATTAACAATGCTAAGCGGCAAAGTTTACGAGACCAAATCGCTTGTCATTTCCGTATTTCGCCTAAGCGCCTTATCCTAAGCCCACACAGCGAGCTATGTCACATGGCAACACTCACCATCGACCACTTTGAGCTTCGTTCCTATCGAATTGTCCTCCCATCTGCAACAAGTCCTGATCCTGGAATGTGATGTCCTGTTGAGGCGCCACCGTAGCCTGAGGGACATAGGAAGCAGCGGTGCATGCGTGCACGATGTTGCCATTGCTGTCGTGGGTACAAGAGCAGACCACTGCCGTGCTACAAGAGAGACTTGGTATCAGAAAGGCGGCCAAAAAGAAAACGTTGTAGGTAGACTCACGATCTTGTGTCTTCTACAGGGGGCGTAGTGTGTGATGACGTCCGGTCATTAACCCCAGCGTGCGGCAATGAAGACTGAATTGTCAAAGCTCTTGACACATCTTCAATGAAGGGCATGATGAAGTATGGTTGTGCCAGTTGTATATTCTGTACAGATAAGATAATCTCTTTTGTGGGAAGAGACAGAAAGAGGATAACAAAGAAGCACGCCGTTGTGGCAGCGAAGGTTCGATCTATCTTTATAACTCGACAACAACACACAACGGGCAAGGCGGGCAGCCTGGCCGCGAAAGCAGAACTAAATTCCCAATTCTCGTGTTTCGTACTCCCGGAGGACTGTAGCGAGATATCAGGAAGTGTTTCCTCCATACATACGGTCCAACGCAAAGAAGAGGACCGGGACAAAACTCCGCACATCCAGCGAATCACGAACAACGATAGATACCGCCCTTCCTCCTTGAACTGACAGGCTCCTGGTTTCGTCTCGACTTTCGTTGTAACCCGGCTGCATCGCCAAGCCTGATCACGTACAGTAGTTCTCAGCCACTCATAGCGTGAATCACTACACATCAAGCTCGAGGGAACAAATCGTCTTCAGGGCAAATGTATAATACAGGGGCGGTCAGAAAGTTCGTGTAACCCAAAAAACCATAGCATCACGACCGCGGTGCTGGGGTATCCCCTGTTGGTGGGATGTGTGGTGATGTGTTGTTTGGAACTGGTGAGGCAGCGAGCGAGTCGGAGGTCGCGGGGGTGGTGCCATGGGCCAAGGTGGTGGGAAGGCTGAAGTGGGTGAAGACGTTTTTAGGCACACAACATGGATGTGCACAAGTAAAACGTTTACTGAGATCGGATAGCCCTACTGAACTACTCATGTACGACCCATGTAAGAATAACAAGCGACAGGATGCGGTCCCGCCCGAAGGATTGTGGATGCATCATCGGACGGGATGCTTTCGCCAACGATATTGTTAGGTGGTGACTGTTGTTGCTAGGTGCAAGTAAGCCGAAGGAACCCCCACGACCACCCGACAACTGGTTCTGCAGCACCGTGCAGCAGTGCTTACCACGGCGAATTGATAGCCATTGATTGGGTCATCAATTGCGCCCCTCAGAAGCCCCGCTAATCACTTTCACTGCCTGGCGTACATTCTGAAGTACCCAGAAATGCCGCAATCGCACCTACTCAGATCATTGGACCCATGGCCATAAGAGTAACGACTAGTACTCGTGTACCAGGACGCGGTCGTGTCACCACACAAGAGGGGAGATGGGAAAGTCGTAACAGGAACACTCATATTAAGCAGTTGATAGATGATAGTTACACTGCACTAGATCATCATTCATAGGACATGGGTATCCACACCACAAAGCGTCGGGGACAGCCGTTACCGGCATGGCAATAGACAGTGGACAGCAGGCTGGCTTCCGGTCACGGTGTTTTGGTCTGTTACCATGCCACAGGAAGCGAAACGGGCATGCATGCTCCCGGGGCCCAGTTTACGGACAGTAGTACGCTACACAAACCTCCCCTGCGCTCTGTGAACTCTATGCACCTGGGTTTGGAAATGGACTAGGGCTTAACGCCCTGGAATGATTGAATCTTGGAAAGAAGAAAAAGTCCACGTGGCGGTATGCCTAATGCAGTGGAATTAGCTGCGCTTACTTTTTCTATGCAGCATGTAGCATGCAGCATGCATCATGCGGCATGGCATTTGGAAGGGGCTGAGGGCAAAATGATGCCTAATTAGCACCGCATTTCATGACCTCCGAAACAACTTTGTGCTTTTCCGAGTCCGGGTATGAGGGGTAGTGAGTTGTCTTGCATGGAGTAGACCAGCCAAGTCACAAGGCAGCGACTCTGGGTTTTCAAACTAACACATGTCTTACCTGCACCATGTATATATGCATCACTCATGCGTCTATCTTTAATCTCCGGTGCATGCAATATTTTGTTTTCTTTGCCCGAATTTTTCAATGCTGAAATTTGTGCTGCATTCGCTCACGTACATACGTCCATACATACATACATCCGTGCATTCTAGTTACGTTCAAAGTATCTCAGCGAATCATAATTCCCAACTGGCAATCTTCCAGACCGCTTCTTCAGTTCCAAAAACTCGAAGCGTGTTTCCAAATTCGGCCCAGAATTTGGAATCGAAGTGCGGGATGAGTTCCACTGGTTGGCGTTCGACTTGCTCGAGGGGCGTCAAGCTCGTGGTGTTCTGCACAGGCGCTGAATTTTCCCATGATCCGGGAGATTGGTTTATTCGCTCGTCACGTTTTCCGTTTTGATTATCTTTCTTTGTTTCAATTGGCTCTGCCTCCTCATCATCAGTTGACAATGGTGCGGTTTCTGGGTTGAGTGACATTTCGCTAAGAGCATCAAAGACATTTTTTGTCTGGAATCTTGTTTGCTCTGCTTTCTTGCTGGCTTGTTTGTTCTTTTTTCGCTGCTTCTTAGACTGCATAGGTTCTGGGTTTTCGACGGGTGGTAACGGGACTGGCTTTTCCACTTTTTCCCGGCCGTCCTTGACAAAATCGAATACGTTTTCATTGGTGATCAGGTTGGGTTGACTATCCGCGCCATTGGTCAAGTTGTGAAAAAGCGGTGGGAGTATCTTCTCTCCTCTTTCCACACCTAGTCTAGCAGCCAGTTTGATCATAATGGTGGCGGTCAATAGGCTGTCGTAGCCCGCTTCGTGGAAGGCCTCAATGTCTTGGTACTTGGGATGGTCGGCATGAGTGATGATATCAGGCAAAGGCTGACTGCTGAGGCCTTGTGCAATGTCCTGTAAAGTAGGTGACGCGTTGAGATCACCTTCGGCAAATGTGGCCAGATACTTGGTGTCGATTATGTTAGGGAATAGCTCGTGTATAGCGTCCTGGAAATCGTCCAACGTGTCCTGATCATCATCGTCAGCATAATGCAGCGACACTCAGGGAACTTCTCATGACGTACAGGCAACTCGCCAACGAATGTGCGGTAAAGATATACAATGTCGGTGAACATATTGTGGCCAACAAGGACTGGCTTTTTGGTCTTCAGTCTCTCCATGGCCTTGTCGAAACGAGGGCGTGTATTATCTGTATCTGCAGTTGGAGCCATACCTGTCGTCCGAGCAACGAATAACAGGTCAGTTCTACTAAGATTGCCACCTTTGACCAGAGCCTCAAAGATCCAACGAAAGCCAGTTTGACGCAATATAGACTCGTCGACGCGATTCTTCATTCGTTGCATATTTTCTGCTTCGCGAACGGGATCAAGCTGAATGATGCGAACGCACTCTGAGCGGCCCATGGTCACTAGGTCAGGGAATTCAGCACGCACGAGTTGATGAACGAGGCGCTTTTCAAAGCGCGTTATGACTGGTATCTTGGGCCGGTCAGGGAGCCCAGTGTGGGTTGTGATATCTAAACCAGATGAAGTAGTGGTCTTCCACTTATTGATGGCCTCCCTGACACGACGCATAAAGTCAAGAGACTCCACGTCTCCTTCCTTGAGTTGGAGGTCGGGCACGGGGTTCTTCTTCTCCAGACGGTCGCATGCCATCTGCTTTGCCTTCTCTGCCTCTTGTCGCGACAAGTATTGCACGCCGTTGGCAAAGGGCAGGCCCAGGTCAAAGCCATTTTTGAGCAAAAAGGTGCAGGCACCACTTTGAAACCGGATCTCGCGCTCAAAATCGATGCGCTCATCCAGCAATGGGCTGATGTCGATGTTGTATGGTCGCAAGACGTACTTGTTTGCTATATAGTCGAACCTTGCGCACGTAATCCCTACCTGTAGGATCTGATAGCGATCGGCGCCCATCTTGGTTTCGGCATAGCGTTCCTCCATGGTAAAACGTCCGGGACCGCGCGGGGGTTTGTCCTGGATGCGGGAAGGGATACCGGAGAGTTCCAAGTCGAATGAGACAAAGTCCGCCTCGGCGATATTAATGAGCATCCACAGGAGCTGGTGTGGGAAGGTGGCTGCGTCGACGTCCATGTTTATGGGAATGACGGAGATTGCAGTCAAGCAGCATAGGCAGTTTGCGATAGTGATATAAGCTTATAGATGACGGTGAATGTCGAGGGTAGTAAAGGCGAAGAGGCAGCTTTCAAAAGAAAGTGAGTGGCAAAGCTACTATTTGGAGGCAGTTGCGAGACTAAGGTGGCCAGGAGCGATCAAACAGGCATTTCTCAGCCGGTGACTCAGAGCTTGTGGCAAGCAAGCAAACAGTTGCGAAGCGAGTTGATTGCGCATCGCGGCCATGGTGGTAGTACAATTTCTGCAGATACAGTATGTGTCGTAGAGTGCAAGCAGAAGTATATGGCTTGTCACGTGTCGGGGGGGGGTGCGGAAATGAGGAGAGGGTTGCTCGGCCAGTTGACGCGCCAAGACATGACTGCCAGCGAGAAAGCCGAGGTCGAATGTTGTGACGACGCGGAGTGTGGAAATGCACACCACCGAGCCGCGCCCCCCGTCTTTCACCGCTATGAGCCCGTAAACGCCGCCCAGAACTCCTTGCCAGCATTTGTATCGCGTCGTGTAGGGACCATGGCGACTCTCTACGACGATGTCAGCGGGTCGCGCTACCTGTCGACATCCATCTCATCGCTGTCGGCATCACGGCAACAAGCCTCCCAAATCGCCAAAGCCTACCGCCAGGCCGCCCAGCTCTTCCTGACGCGCCGCCTGCCAGAGGCACTCTCCACAATCGAGCCCATTATCACTCCGCCACCCGTAGACGACACCAATGGCCCCAATGGAGACCTTATAGGACATGCGCCCGTAGCAACCGCGTCTCGCGGCACCCGGATCAAGGTCTGGAGCTTCTACCTCACCTTCTTGAATGCCGTCATCGAACTGGGTGCCGAGGAGGGTAAGCATGCCTTTGGCAGCACCCGCTGGAAGCAGCTAGTGTCTAAATGCCGTGACGGTAGCATCTGGGACGATGTTGTGCGCGATGGCTATGCTGGAGTCGAGGGTGACGTGGATGCCGATGTTGTTGTGAACCTGTATGCCAAGAGTAGGCCGTGAATGCGATTTCTATACTAACCACTATGCAGAGCCACGCTGCTACTCACGCATGCTCCCTCCCAGCGACTCAACCAGCAGAAGCTTGAGACATACCTCTCAGCATCTGCCACGCCCACACTCGATATCGCCTCCCATATGGCCTCGCCGTCATACCAAGAGAAGCGCCCCGGTCACCACAGGCAGCACACCGGCACAGACACCCCGCGCGACCTCGAAAAGCGCATCAAACTGCTCGAACTATACACGCTACACGTCCTGCCCCGTAACGACGAGTGGGACTATGCCCGCGAGTTCATCAGCATGTCAGAGGTCCTGGATGACGAGCGCAAGGAGGCTTTCCTGCTTGCTTTGCATTCGCTCAAGGATGAAAAGGAGGATACCGAGGCAAGAGAGGAGAAGCTGCGCCAGCAACAGCAAGAACAGATGGAGCAACGCCGTAGAGAAACCGAGGCAAGGCGTCTCGAACAGTCTCGCGCAGAGGACGAGCGCCGGAAACGCGAGGAAGAAAACCGCCGCCAACCCCGAGGCTCAGACGAACGTTTCCGCAAACAACAACCCACCCCTCAACCCGTCTCCTCGCAATCTTCTCGAACCTCACGCACTCCGCCCAAGAAATCTATGAGTCCTCCGCCGGGCTTCTACAACCGCGCTTCCACCGTGCTCGCTAATATCCAAAACTTGATATCTAATACTGCACATTCCATGACTGCAAATCCAATGGCTTTTTTCCGCACCCTCCTCTTCTTGCTCGCATTTGGCCTTGCATTCGGCAGACGGGACCTCCGAGAAAGGATAATGAGGATCATACGTAATGCATGGGACAAGGTTCGGCGCACAGTCGGCATGGGTGTGAAGGTTTCCTATATTTAATATGATGCATTTATTTTTCTCAATTCATAGTCGTGGGAAGCATAGGTGAAGTGGAGAGAAGGAAAGATGGTCTCTTTTCTATGTTTTTGGTTGGGTATGCATGCATCTCCTATGTATTGATATCGTGTACAAAAATCCTGTGGGCATGTTGCCTGCGTTCAACCATGATGCTGTACTGCTTATTTCTGACGTCATGTGATATGTGTATTGAAATTGTCCCCTAGAACCCATGTCTGACTCTAGGGAAGCGGAAAAAAAGAGGCGCCTCAAGCACTCTTCTTCGCAGACTTGAGCGTCTTGCTCCTCTGCTTCATCATGTACGTATACATTGTATACGAACCTAACATCCCCAGTCAGCAACCAACGAATATCCCGGCATGTCTTTACTCTCTCGCATAACTTACCAGGAATATACAACGCCAGGCAAAAATAAAAAAACGGCGGAATTAACCCGTTAATGCGTCCCGCAGGCTCAATCGCCCGATACAACAGCCACCACTCTGCTCCAATCCCTACTGGATACAGTGGGTAAAACATCGTATACCTATCCCGTATTAGCGCCCCCTTCACTCCCTCGGTCCGTCCTTTGGAAAAAAGAAGAAGAAAAAGTGGAAAACGTACCTAAGCCAAACAAGCCACCCCGGCGCCCGTCCATGCATATTCAACGCAAGATAAAAATACCGAATCGCATCTGCCGTCGACCACGCTAGCAAAAGCGCTAGATACGCACTCGAGGATGCGGTGCTGGTGGGGAAACAGAACCATACCATCCATACTTGGATTACGCGGGTGATGACTTGTAGGGCGGTAGTGCTGACGGGGGATTTGATGAGACCTAATTTTCCTTGTTAGCCTTCGGGGCTCTGTTTTGTTTGGGTTGATATTTAGAGTGTGGTTTAGTTTGGTGAGTAGGGCAAGGGAAAGGGGGATATTACCAAAAGCAGCATGCAGCACTTCTAGCAACGAAGCTGTTTGGATCCAGCGGGCGTGGGGCTCCGTTGCACGGAAGAGTTCGATGCGAGAAGAGGTTAGGGCGTGGGATGCTGCGCGGATGAAGGTGGAGGCCCATAGGGAGGCGAAGACGAGGTTGTAGGATGTCAGGTAGATGAGGCGGGTTTGGGAGGGTGGTGCTTGTTTTGCGTGTAGGGGGCGTTGGGTTGCCATTTTTCCTGGATCTCTTTTTGTCCCTCTTACTCCTTGCTCTTTTTCCTATTGAATTAGTGAGGAGGTGTTTCTATATAGTGCGGCCGTGGATTTTGTATCGCCTGCACAGACTAGAGAAAATTGTCTGTTAAGATCTCCAAGGCGCATGTGGATGCGCTTGAGCCGAGGCTATCTCACTCTTGGTAAGACAAATAACGCGGGCCGCTTGTCGAAATGGGTTTCTTGCCCAGAGCGAAATCTCCTAGTGTTCGGCGCGATACCGGGCTTTGTTCTTCGTTTCTTCGTTTGGGATGAATATGTTACTACGTCGTGGTTTCCAGGGTCTGGCTGTTGTAAGGATCGAATACGAATGGCCAGGGCTCTGCGAATAAAGTTTGCTAGGTATGTTAACTACACAGCCAATCAGCGAGGGCGTGAACCGATTTTATTGGGTAGGAACGGAATTGCGCTTTCCTATTTTGTTTATCCGTGTAGCATTGGTATATTGCGTTGTTTGGTCATCCCGAAAGGGGTATACGGAAATGTAGCTCAAGGTAGTATGAAGAAAGAGATAAGACGACGAGATAAAATGTCCTTGGCAAGGCAACAAGCTCCTCGAATCTCGTGAAAGCATTGTTGTTGGTGTCTTTGTTCGCACCTTCCGCACATCGCCTTGCGATACTCAACATCGTCACGTGTTGTCGTGCCCACTAATCACGCCCTATCATCAACATCCAAATCCTTCGACTAACAACATAAAGCCAAGCATCGCATCCTATCGGAAATTCATCACTGACAATGTCCTCACCTATCCGCCACCTCGTTCTACCACGCTCAGCTGCAGAATCTCCACTATCGAACTCGCCAATCTCTGCCCCTGCTGAGGAATCTTTCACGTCTGCTTTCGGCACCCTGCTCCCACCGGCCCGGCATCTCACTATCAACAATGCAAAAGCCGCATACTACTCGATACCTCCATCCTCGTCTCCAGGATCGGACATAAAATCGCCAAAGCGTGTGCTTTTCATCCACGGCGTGCAGACTCCCGCTTTAGGCATGCTTCCGTTAGCTCGCAAGCTACATGCATCTTTTCCCTCGGCGCATTTTGTATTGATTGATCTATGGGGGCATGGACTGAGCGATACCCCGGTTGCTTCTCATGAGGCGGGGCTGTTCCACGGGCTGATTGACGCACTTCTGGATCATCTGGAATGGCCGTCTGCACACCTCGTAGGGTTTTCCTTTGGCGCATCATTGACAGTTGGCTATGTTGCATCACGGGCTTCGCGTGTCCAAAGCTATGTGTTGATTGCACCTGCAGGACTTGTCAAGCGTTCTTCTTTCACAGCAGCTGAACAAAAATATTTCCAACATGACTGCGACGAGGATGCTGCGCGGCAATGGGTCACGGCCTGGCTCGAGGGCGGAGAGCTCATCGTCCCATTGGATTGGAAAGAAAGAGTTGCACGGGGAGAAGTAGTCGCCGAAGCTGTACGTGAGTGGCAGACCTGCAATCACCCTGGACACACGGCATCTGTGGTCGCTATTGTCCGGGACGGCGGTGTGATGGATAACCACGAGAGTTTCGAGAAAGCGGTAGCAACGGGTGTACCGTCGACTGTGGTGTTGGGAGAGAAGGACGGTTTGTGTACAGAACAAGAGCTACGAGACTTTGGTTTCGACAATGTTTTCGTCGTCCCAAACGCTGGACACGGTGTGGTGCGGGACAAAGTACCAGAGGTCGCAGGGTTCATTATTGAGTTCTTGAGACGATGAAAGGAGAAGTTACGCAATACACCTCTCACGTCAGCAGCTCCATAAGATATCAAAGTTGGATGCCAATATTCTTGACCGCTATTGTCTGGACGAAGCATTATGTTGAGTCGATTTGTAATGCCATGCTTTTCTCTCAACTCGTCGTCCACTCAAGAAGCCGGCCGGCTACCCAAAGAATGGTGCTGGCTCCAACCAACTCAAGCTACCAAAAAAAGCATAACATCGCTGACTGCACGGGTGTTGGAGGCGCCCCAGCACCTGATGGCGTGTCAAGCACGGGTAATGACTGTGAAAAGGCGTAATGCTTGACACCAAGCCAATCGGGATGAAATCGCATGAAAAGCCAGAACCTTATCTCAATAGTATGAGAGATTTGTTTCGTAAGCTCCGAACACGGAGAAGAACGACGTTGGCAGAAAGTTGCGGGGTAGCCACGCGCAGTTGGAGTAGCTTTATGCTTAGCTTGTGTAAGGCTACCTTTTGGGTTTGAGAGGGGCGAGAACAGGGGCGCCACACACGTTATCTGCATGTCGGTACAAGGCAGAGAGGCATGCCAGCCCAGCACGTTGCACGTTGCACAGCAACGTGCCCCACAGCCATGAATTTCTTTTTGTCTCTGAGCTCGGTTTTGCGCTGGCAAGACGAGTGGCTATATTCATAATCGCCGTGGGTGGATCTGCACACTAATGCCGCTCCAGATTCAACACCCTTCTGTCACGTCACGGCATCCACCTGCCGCTTCGGGCTAGAATCGGTCGAGGTGGTATCTGGTTTATCGAGCACAAGCATTGCCTCTAAGCCACTCGGCGCGGCTATAACAATGCTTCGGGCTGCTTGGTGGGCTGCCATTATCCTGCATCTTGACCCTCTTGCAATCCACGGAGCCAAGCCGTGGTGAAAAACAACATGCACTTTACTATAGTAGCTGGCTGCATCGGTGCCGCAGCAACAGCAGCAGGTATACGACTTGGTGGATCATATGCCGACGTCGACGTTCAGGGTATTGCACGCAACGACATTGAAATCTTCTTGGGTATTCCCTATGCAAAGGATACCAGTGGCGAAAACAGATTCAAACCTCCGATTCCCTACGAATACACCCCAGGCGAAGTCATCGATGCTACAAAACCAGGTCCTGCTTGCCCACAGCCGCTGGGCGTGCTCTTTGCACCCCTTGGACTGGACAATATTACTGAAACGTCTGAGAACTGTTTGAACTTGAATGTGGCGAGACCCAAATCCGAGGATCGAGAAGGCAAAGGACCACTACCAGTGCTTGTATGGATACACGGCGGATCTTTTTGGTGGGCAAGCAACAATGAACCAACAACAGCTCCTGATGGCATGATCAAGCAGTCAGTAGAAAACGGGTCACCTATTATGCACGTAGCCATGAACTACCGGCTGGGATTCTTTGGCTTTGCAACCTCGGACTCTCTCAAAGAAGAGGGAAGCATGAATGCCGGGCTGCGTGACCAACGTGCTGCGATCGAGTGGGTTCGTGACAACATCGCTGCCTTTGGTGGGGACCCGGAGAGGATTACCATCGCCGGACAGTCCTCCGGTGGTCTGGCCATCGGTATGCATATTTTGGCTTATGGCGGGGAAAAGCCACTGCCTTTCCAGCAGGGCATAGCGCAATCGCAGTCTCTTGAGCCAGGTATTACGGGCACGTTTTCCAGGGATGCAATGACAGCCGTCATCGACTACGTTGGATGCAATACGACCAAACTCGATGCACCGGAAACAATTGAGTGCTTACGTGCCTTGGATACCGAGACGCTTTTTAATGCTTCCGAGGCAACCTATCAGAGTGACATCGCGCACAATATTGGCGATATCTGGTTGCCTCAGGTAGACGGCGATTTTCTTCCAGCTCCCCCTAGTCAGCTGATTGCCGAAGGTCGTTTTGGAAATGCGACATTTATGTCAGGCTGGATGGAAGGCGATCTCAATGTCTACACAAACACATCCATTGCAACTGATAAAGACACATACGATTTTATCCGTGGTTACCTACCAGGCATGTCCGAGGAATTGCTGGCTGACCTGCTCGACTTATACCCCGTAGAAGAATTCGGGACCAGCCCAAACTTGACACAGGAATTCTACCGCTCAGCTCGCATCTTCCGTGACATTCTAATGGTGTGTCCGTCGCTGCACCTCGGGTCGGCAATCGAGGAGAAGTATGAAGGCCCTGTGTACTTTTACAACTTCAACCAGACCATTCTTGATCCCATACTCGAGCAGGTTACGAACATCTCTGGGTTCGGCGTAGTCCATACATCAGAGTTTGCATACATTTTCGATAGTATGCATGTGTACAATAATTCGGGCTATACTGTCCACCCTACCGCGTACGATTACGAGGTTGTCAAGCGAGCGAGCCGGTCTTGGAGCACATATGTCAGCCAGGGCGTACCAGCACTGGATAGCCCTGGGTCGACAACGTTGCTGAACTGGGATGAGGCTTTTAGTCGGCCAGGTGGACCATATGTGAGGACAATTGGGGGCTCGCATCCAAGCAACAGTGCGCTGGGGACGGCGAATGCGACGATTGAATTCTCACAGCAGAGGCTGCAAGAACGATGTGGGTTTTTCAACAGCCCAGAGGTAATCCAGGCGTTACAGTATTAATCGCAGTATGACCGGGCGCGGAGTAGTGGTAGAATGTTGTACATAGATGCGTAGGAAGTGCCGAATGCAGAAGACTCGCTTTACGATGAACAGAGCCTCGAAAACAAGAGATCCGGTACTAATACCCCAACTTGCGGCTCGGTCCGTCCTCTTGCAGCTTAGAGGGACCAATAGCCCCATTACTTCTCCTTCTTCCCCACATCCTTCTCTTCACCCTTACCTCCCTCCGCCAGCTCTAGAATAAACTCCCACTCCTCCTTCCTGACCCTACAAACACTCAACCTCGAATTCGTAACAAGCTGCATATCCCTCAACGGTCCCCCCTCCCCCGCAAACCCCTTAATCTCATGCAAATCCACAACCCTATCAAACTCCTTGACAAACTCCACGCCTACACAATACCACTTGGGATTGTCCCGCTGAGACTTGGCATCATAGTACGGGTCCTTGGGGTCAAACGCCGTCTCGTCGACGAACGCTTCTTGCACGACACGCAGGATGCCGACGACACCTGAGGGCTTGGCGTTGGAGTGGTAGAAGAAGCCTAGGTCGCCTTTGCGCATCGCTTGCATGTTGTTGCGGGCTTGCGGGTTGCGCACGCCAGACCAGGGCTCGGGTGCTGTGCAGGCACGTAGGTCCGAGATGGAGAAGGCGACGTTGATGCCGTTTTCGAAGCGAGGGAGGGGCTCGGCTTTCAGGAGCCAGAAGACTTCTTGGTTGCCGTTTGCGTCGCGGTTGGATGGTGAGGTGGGCTCTGGTGGTGGTGCGGGTTTTGATTTGGATGTTGGGGGGTCTGAGGCTTTGGGCGCTTTTGGGGCTTTTGCTGGGGCTTTCTCCTTGGGTGTATTTCCTTTGGATGCCTTGGATTTTGAGGTCGCGGCTTTTTTGGGCGGTGGTAGGCTGGCATCTGCTACGTCGTCGTCTTCATCTTCGCGGGTACGCTTCCGACGCGTCGATTTGGTCGTACTACGTTTCGATTGGGCCTCTTCGGCCGATGATGATGGGTCTTCATTATACTTTGGTGCTGCAGACGCCTTTTGGCGCGTGGAGCTTCGTGTTCCAGCCATGATGAGGTTGTGATTGTGATGTAATGCTCGTGGAGTCTGCTGATGTCGTGCGACGTGAACGCGCCTCGGGATGGCCCGATTGCCCTTCACTTTCCTACATCATCAGGACTTTTCACTCCACCACACACACATCCAATATCTACGCACAATGCCCACCACCAGATCCACAGCCAAGTCCGACGAGGGCACGCCGAAAAAGGTTCGTTCTGTCAAGAACATGACTGTCGAAGAGCGGGACATTGCAATTGCAATGTTGAGAGAGGGCCGCAGTAATGCGGAAGTTGCAGCGCACTTCAATCGCGATCCTGCGACTATCCGGAAACTGCGCAAGAAATACTCCAGCACCAATTCGACAAAGGACAAACCTCGTAGCGGTCGCCCAAAGTTATTATCGCGTCAACAGGAGAAGCTTCTATATCGTGCAGCTCGCCGCTCGGGGCCAAAGGTCACACACAAGGAGCTCACCGAGGCAGCCACCGTGGTGCAGTCTGATGGGACTGCTTTGAAGCTACCTTCCAAAAACACGTTGTATAGGGCACTCCGCAGTCGAAATCTGGTACCCTCGCGATCCAAAAAGTGAAGCCTGGTCCGTGTTTCTCGTATATAAGCAGGGCCCTGCATTGTTGTACATGGATGCCGGTATGCCGACATACCGGTAGGCTGGTGCACTGGTATGCTGATGGGGCCAAACATATCCTGTCGAGCGCACGCTCTGCTTTCTCCTTTCGTTTGCTAGAGAGACGAGTGGGTCCGCGATTAGCATGGTGTTGCATCCATTATACAGTACTATGTACCCACAGGCCTCGGTAAAACGCCACATAGATTGCCACCTACGAACAGATGACCCAGATAACGGGGGAAAAGAGACGGAGTACAATTAATAATGATGCAAATCACGAGGGTCGCACAATGCAAAGCCTCGGGATTTGTTATTGTTTTCGTACGAAGGGCCGCACTGATGCGTGCCCTAAAGAGAGGAAACTAGTGGTCTAGTCTCTGTCCATACAGGTTGCTGCCCCGCGCGGTCTTCTATCCTCAACCGTACGCTCCTACGAGCAGAACCACCTTGGCGTTGAAGCTATAAAAATGCCTCCATATCTTGTTTTCATACCTCCAAGCCAGCCATCGACCTACACCAACACGAAATTTCGTGCGCAAGACAAGACGCATTATGGACGGCTTCGATAAGAAAACACTCAAGACCTCTCGAGGCCTCACATATACCTACTATACCTCTGCTGGCAACACTTCGCTCCCAACTCTTCTCTTCCAACATGGCTTCCCCGACCACGCCGCTATGTGGCAACAGGTCGCCAGTGGGGTGAAGTCACTCAACCACCCCATTATCATCCCAGATATGCTTGGCTACGACGGAACCGACAAACCCACAGACCCTGCAGCATACGAATTCAAGCTCATGACCAAAGACATTACCGAGATTCTCGATGCCGAAGGCGCGCAAAAATGCGTTTCCATTGGCCATGACTGGGGCTCGACGTTTGCCTCGCGCATGTGCCAGTATCATCCTGAGCGCGTAGTCGGTCTAGTGAACATGAACGTCCCCTACTCGCCATCCAATCCCACCCCATTTGATCTCGATGCCACCAACGCCTTCATGGAGAAGATATTTGGATACCCACTCTTGAGCTACTGGTACGTTTTCGCTGCCCCCGACGGCGCTGCTCTCCTCGAACGCAATATCGACCTTACTTTCGACATAATGCACGTCGAGGCCGACCTCATGAAGGCCATCATTTGCACAAGAGGCGTCATGCGGGATGTCCTGGAGGGCAAAACAAAATACGACCTTACTATTCGCCCCTACGCGCAGGACCCCGCATTCAAAAAGGCATTTGTCGACCGTATGCGCCGCGATGGCTTCGCGGCTCCCACGTGCTGGTACAAGGCCATGACGACCAACATCCAGTCCAAGAGCGATGCACAGCTTCCCAAGGAATCGCAAAAGGTCAATGTCCCCGCGCTGTACTTTGGTGGCTCGGAGGATGCTGTGTGTAGGCAGGAAATGATGCAAGCTCCTATCGAGGCTGGATGGCTGCCGCACCTGGAGCATGCAGGCCTGATCGAGGCGGGGCACTGGACGCCGTACGAGACGCCGCAGGAGGTGATTGGCAAGCTGGAGTCGTGGCTGAAGAAGAATTTTGCCTAGGCAAGGGAGATGAAGGCGTAAATGTCGAGTTGAGTACATCAGACTGATGTAAGTTTTGAACATATGAATAAACGATAAACAAAAAGAAATCAAGAAATCAAGAAATCAATCAATCATGAAATTTCGGATTCGACAATGTCAAATCAAGCTCCACTAACCTATCTTCTCCTCTTCTCTCCCCTCCCCTTAACCTCTCCAAAAAGTAAAATGGCAACTCCACCACGTTCTTAAACGGGCACAACATGATTAGCAGGAAACAACTTTCCGACCCCACAATAAACGCCCCAGTACCAATCCCCATTAATATCCGCCGCTTCTCTAATCTCCGCCCCACGGGGAAACGCCAACTCATCATCGACCCCCTCATCCGGCCAATACGCCCAGCGCGCCAGCAACCGTAGTCCCAACCCTCCATCCGGCGGCACACGCATAACCCGGGCCATATCCTCCTCCTTCATCGCGTAACCGCCTACGAGATCTTTCACCACAATGCGTCGTTGCGCCCCGTCGCGATCTTCAAACCCGACAACGTACATGCGGTGGGAGCGCAGACACTTGCGCCAACCGGAGACGCCGTCTTCTTTGGGGATGCGGCCGCTGACGCCAAGTTTGTGGTAGCAGCTCGTGCAGATGTCGTAGTCGCCAGCGTTGCATTTGAGGCAGTGGAAGCGTGTGGTTGAGGGCGCGATGGGGTAGCGGCAGACGTTGCAGAGCGTGGTGAAGGTTAGGGGGCGGAAGATGGAGTTTGCGATTGTGAAGTAGCCGGGGCCGCGAGCTAAGGAGGCGGATTTGGGGGTTAGGGGGGCGGCGAGGGGGGTTGGTATTTCCGGGTTATCTGAGGAGGGCGGTGCTAGATGTGAAGATTCGAGATGGGGGGTTGAAGGAGTAGAGGGAGTGGCGTCCGTGGTTGAGGATTGCGGGTCTCGAGCTTTCTTTGCGACGGGAACGAGGGGGTGTGTACAGTGTCGGCCTTGGTTCACGCAGTCGTTGCAGTAGCCCCAGTCGCCTTCGTTGCAGTAGTCGCATTTCCAGTAGCAGGCGTTGGCGTAGGCTTTGCAGTTTTCGCAGAAGACGCCGAGTTCCACTCGCTGCTTCGGGTCGTCTTCGCTCATGAGGACATGCGGCGGGGTGCTGGATTCTGTGAGTGGTGTCATGGGCCGCCGATATCGACGTCCGATTAGGATGTGAGGGTGCTCGTGGTTGGGTGGATAGCCTCCTTCGGGTGCTTCTCGCTCATAACGAGGCCATGCTGTCCAGCCAAACCCAAACCAATGCTTACAGCCTTTGCCGAGGCGGTAGCAGCGGACACAGATGTTATACTCGCCCCCATCGCAGCGACTACAGTTGTAGTGTAGTTCGTATTGAATGTCACTCTTGTTACAGCGCTGACACGTAATGTTGGGCTCGTTATAGAACATGGGCGCAATTGAAGAAGCGGCCGAAGTTTGCCTAGACCGAGGCAGTGGAACAGTCAAATCTGTGGTGGAGCGAGAGATTGGGGGTGAAGCCGTTGGTGGAGTATTACTGTTTGAAGCACGTGGCAGTGTAACACGAGCGGGATCGGTTGTACGACGTGATGTTGGGGGATGGAGAGGCGTGGCCGCAGGCGTTGATGAAGAAGCGGGTACGGCGGTAGTTCCTACAGTAGCTAGAGAGCTAGTCGGACTACCACGACCTGGTATGTTGAAATCCGGCACCTGAGGCGAACTAGGATTCGAGCTCGCGCTGGATTGCACACTGTCGCGGAATTGTTGGCGGGCATCAAGTCGGCTTCGTTGTTGATTGTCCGACTGGCGCCGACGTGCTGGAGCTGCCGTCTCTGATGCCGATACCCGTTCACTGCTGCTGTTATTTTGCGAGTTCCCAATGGCCGAGTTTGCACTCGGCCGTTCGATTCTTGTGGCAGAGCGGGAACTGCCTTGGCTTGATGATCTCTGTCGTGGTGTCCGCCCACCGCGGTTGGCAGCATCAATTAAGCCTGGTCGTGATATCGGAGGTCGTAAAGTAGATTGTGGAATTGACGATCCGCTTTCCGACCGGCCATGGTGTCTCCTTCGCTGTACATCTTCCTCCCGTAGATGAGGACTGCGCAAGGGCTGAGGAACAAGTGGGGATGATGTGCTGGTGAGACCATCTCTTGCTAGGCGTTCTCTCCTTTGTCTTCGTTCACGTTGTCGCTCAGCCTGCCTGTCTGCCTGTCGTCGTCGCACTGCTTCAGCAATCCTCTCTGTGATTTCCTCCTCCTGTGCGGTACCAATCTGGTTCAAATCAAATCCCTCTGATACAAGCTCCTCTAGCACCTGACGTACAAGGTCCTCGTCCACCTCATCGGCATCAAGATCGGATGAGCTCAGCAACGAGCGCAAACTCGACTGGTGCTCGACAGCCCTAGGCGGTCTTGCAGATGCAGCTGAAGGGTTCCGGCTGGTTGGATGTCTTGTGTCTCGACTTGCACGCGAGTCGGTGCTAGTAGCGCGGCTTCTTTCTCTCCTCCTCCGCTCCCGAGATGGTCGCAGGTTGTTGTTATTGCCGCCTGATATGCCCGCATCTCTCAAGCTCAGCTGCTGGGCCTCGTCCAACATGCGCTGATCTACGTCATCACGCTCGTCTCGTCGCCTGAGCTTGGGAAGCACATTGTCCCCAGGCTTGTATTTATTCCGATCCGCCTGTTTCTCTTCATCGGTCTTGCCTCTTTCCGGATTGGCTTTTATGAAGATGTCGAGGAGGGTGGTGACGGTCGCATTGGGCTGTGTGGTGCGCACCGAGGCGCGGCATGACGGGCAGGTGTATGGGTGTATCGATGTGGCGGTAGAGGCCTGGAAGGCGAACCATTCCTTCAAGCATGCGCCGCAAAAGGTGTGAAGGCAATCAAGAAGCGTCAACGGCTGGTAGAGAAGGTCGGTACAGATCTGGGCAGGGAACCGTTAGCAGGCGTAGCCCTATGGCTCGGCAGGCCCAGACGAACAGCGGAAAGAAGAAACGAGAGGTCCGAATATTAAAACTCTCTCTCTACACGTCCATACGCCCAGAAACACCCTCTTACGACACTGCAACAACCGCCAGGCCTGGCTTTACACAATGTCGGCCATGCCGCATTCTCGCTGGGCCGCTCCCCACCTTCGCGCCGCCATGAAACCTGAACCTGAACCTCGACTTACCGAGCACGTTAATTCCTTCTCCAGGTCGCTATGTACTCCGCCAGCGCGCTCGCCCTCAGCCATTTTTCGGTGCAAACGTAAAGTCGTGAATGAGCGTCATGAGCATGAGCAGCAGCGAGGTTGCGGTCTGGCTAGCTAGCTGAGCTGTGTGCGGTCAGCGACTCGATGCCACCATGCACTTGGCGAGGCACTGACTTGGGTGAGCGGACGTGTCATAGGCTGCCAGCGCATGTACGATTCCGCAGCGACGCCGCCCGCCCAAGGAAATCAGATCCCCGTCCGCATTCTGCATCCTCTATGTGTGGGCCGCATGCAGCGAGCGTCGGCACCTTGCGAAGCGGCATGTCACGCGAGTTGGTGTCGTACTAGCACGTACTGGCTGCGCGATGCCGGCATGCTCCAAGCACCCATGTCGGTAGTAGAAGGGCTTGTGAGACCACCCTGGCCACTCCGCTGACCAGCACATGACAAAAAAGCCGGCAAGTATTTGTATTGATGTACCACAGCCATTGCAGGCCCCTCATACTCATCCCGTCTTGAACTCGACGCTTGGCAGCCCCATCAAGCTTTCTAGTCCTGTCGCACATCCTGTTTTGTGCATCGTTTCGGCTGTACCACAATCGGCAGGGCACCAGCTCCTGATCAAAGCACTCCAAACATAGACCACTGCACGGGTCGCACCGGGTACATGTCATCCGGGAATATCAGGTACCCAGATTTCTGGGCCTGAGGTTTCGAAACCTCAGGCAAACGACCGCAATGCCGCCGAACCATTGGTATTGTCGAGGCTACGATATCCCTGTTATGGAATTGAACGTCACCTCATGGCTGGATACCGAAAGATTTCTCTCTTTTCTGTGCCATTAAGAATAGGTGTTGCTTAACTTGTGGGATGAACATCCCGTGCTGAGTCCTCTTGTTCATCTCGTACTTCTCCAGAATTTGAAGGGCCCATTCAATCTCGATCAATTGAGCGGCTACATATCACTTCTCAATACATCAGGCAAAAGTAAATTCAGTTATACCATCATCTATTGTTTTTCTGAAAACAAAAACAAATCTCGTTACCGAGGAGAGAATCCGACCTTGACCTGCATTCCACGCTCCACAACATCCTTGCATTTATCATCCTACTGGCTAATAATCCTCCGCGGACACTTGCCCGTACAATGCCTGCACGACGCCACCCACACTTGACCCTTTGAACCACTTGCCTCTTGGCATGGAAGCTGGGGTAAGCGGCCAGCCAAAATAATGCTTTACAGATTAGACTTCAATGAATAGCAAGAAAACGGCCCATAATAGTTCAATGTATGGTGTACACACGAGACATGTCTTTGGAACTTGCTAGTCTATCCAATCTCATACGCAAACTTTGTGTAAGAAGTGGAGAAGAGAATCAGGTCCAAGAAATGATTTGCACAAACTGACAAATTATACGGTGGCTATGGACCTCTTGGGCACCATGTCCTTGAGGCAACTTTGCTTCCACGTATCTACAGGTGTTGGGGGGTATGTACGTTTCTTTTTGCAACAAGCTATGGTGGAGCTTACATTGCTGTGTAAAGTAATGTCAAAAAAAAAGCTGAAAAAAACATCACACAATCACATCACTGGTAGCAAAAGGAAAGATAAAGTTAGGCAGGCTAATACCCTTTATATTCGCCATTGTCCAGCATCTCACAACTGACAATAACTACAAAGCTATAAACATATATATATACTCCACTCGCCACCACTTATTACAATTCCCCCTTAAAAAAACAAAAACAAAGCTTATTTACATACTAAAAGAGAGTGAAAACGTATCGTGACCTGCAAAATACGGTTGGACCCTCTCTCTCTCTTTTTGGTTTGTTTCCACCTTGGATGTTTTCCATGCCTCATCTCCTCTACCTCGAGATGTTTTTGCTAGGGATGCATGGCCTTAGTTACCGGCCTGGCGCTGAGCACCAGCTTGTCCTTGAGCGCCAGCCTGTCCTTGAGCGCCAGCCTGTCCTTGAGCGCCAGCCTGGCCTTGAGCACCACCAGCCGGTCGTTGAGCACCAGCTTGGCCCTGGGCAGCTTGGCCCTGGGCACCGGCTTGTCCTTGAGCGGCTTGTCCTTGAGCGCCAGCTTGGCCCTGAGCGGCCTGTCCCTGCTGAGCGGCCTGTCCCTGCTGAGCAGTCTGCTGTCCCTGCTGGGCGGTTTGCTGTCCCTGTTGGGCAGTCTGTCCTTGCTGAGCAGTTTGTCCCTGCTGAGCGGTCTGTCCTTGCTGAGGAGTCTGTCCCTGAGCCTGACCCTGAGGAGTGGTCTGGCCTTGAGGAGTGGCAGTACCAGCAGTGCCGGCAGTACCAGCAGTTCCGGCAGTGCCAGCAGTTCCGGCAGTGCCAGCAGTTCCGGCAGTGCCAGCAGTTCCGGCAGTGCCAGCAGTTCCGGCAGTGCCAGCAGTTCCGGCAGTACCAGCGGTACCGGCAGTGCCAGCGGTACCGGCAGTGCCAGCGGGGGCAGCGGCACCAGGAGTGGCACCGTTCTGGACCAGACCGTTGCCAGTTCCCTGGGCAAGAGCCTGGGCAGCAGCGAAAGCAGCCGCAGGGCTACCTGCAGGCGCGCCGGGCTGCGTAGGACCAGTTCCCTGGACACCGTTGATGACACCAGTCTGGTTGCATGCGGTAGGGCGGACAGCCTGGCTGGAAGAGCCGGTGGAGGCCATGTAGGCATCGATGTTGGGGAGAACGTTGACACAGCGGTTCTGGTTGATCAGGTCGATGTTGCCAGCGGCAGCCATACCCTGGATGGACATTTGCTGGAGCTTGTCAACAACATCCTGGAAAGCACCGCCAGTGGCAAGGGTGCTGTTGGCAGCAATGACGTTGGGGTCAGCGCTGTTGGCAGCGTCGATGACGGCCTTCTGGTTGAGCTCGTCGACCTCGGCGTTGTAGGCAACGGTAGCGGCCTGCTTGAACTGGACGTTGTTCTGGATGCTGGCACCGTTGTTCAGGAAGTTGGAGACCATGGAGGTGTCGGCCATCCAGTTGGAGACGGCAGTGGCGAGATCGCTGGCGGTAGGGGTCTGACCGTTGGCGATGCCAGCACCCTGACCAGTGGGGTTGTTGGGGGTGGTTGCTGGTCGGGCGTTGGGGTTCTGCTGCTGAACCTGAGCGTAAGGAGCAGCGTAAACAGCAGAGGTGAGGAGAGAGGCGACGAGAATGTACTGCATGATGGCGGTTGTTAAAATTTATCGAAATTGATGGAATATGATTATGTAGAAGTTGTAATAAGAAAGTGAGAGATGCTGGAAGACGAAAATAAAAGATATTAGCCTGTTGGTGATTGAGGAACCTGTCCGATAATGATTGTTTGGGTGGAGGGAGAAGCGGCATTTATACTTGCTTAGCTCGACCTTCTGTAAAGGGTCTCACCAGACGTAAAGGCGGCATCCTCGCAGTGGTGTGGAGATGGAACAAGGTGGATGCCAAGCTTCCGCAGACGTTCCAGAGAGTTGGCGGAGTGCTTGATGCTACAGTTTCGAAGCATGCTGGTGTTTGGTGCGCTAAGCTTCCCCAGGGTCTAGACGCAAACCAAACGAGCACCGGTTGTCCTGAATCATGGCCTATTCCGGTCTGTTTGCCAAGGTTACTGTGCTGTGTCTCAACACGGAATTAGTCACTAACGTTTGGCATGCCGACGTTGCAGTTTTGGCGCCGTCTGGGAAAAGGTTTCGTAGGCCTTGGCGCACTAGCCTTCACCCGATGGCGGGAGATCACCGGATTTTGTGTCGAAACCTGGTCCCAACTGACCCCACATTATGCCTGGATCGACACAAGTGTGCCACAGGTTTCCAAATGCTTACTGTGTTTCTTTGCTTGGTTACTTGCATTTACTCTTTGCAGAGGTGATGATTTGTAAGTTGTATAATAACGCATCACCCACACACCTTAACGCATAAACAACACCGGTAGGATCATCTCTCTCAAATATCGCCTTAGTAGTCCCGTACTAGTCTAGCACGAGGCGGTGACAAAATTAGTTGGCTTGAGGTTGCTTCGCGTCAGAATCCCCAAGTACACTCTGATACGCGCTAGAGCGGAACGGCACGTGCTACAACATAACTACTTCATGCAGTGGTGATAAAACGTCAAGATTAACCGTGAGTTGTTAAGCAGTGCCTCCCTGGAGTCTCTACAGTACCTATACAAATTGTTTCGGGTGTAACATAGCACAATGAGATGGGCAATGGGAAGCAATGAGAGGTTTGGGTCCAGGTGACGAGCCAATCTCGCAGATTGCGTCTTAACAATCATGAGAACACTTTTCATCAGCACGATCCATGCTCGGCGGCGGCAAAGCTATGCACAAGGGCTTTTCTGCTATCCGACATCTATGGCGTCTTGTTCTGTGCGGGATCCATGCTGGTCTCAACCTTGCGAATGAACTTGGCAGGATTGCCGGCGACTACTGTAAAGTCGGGAACATTCTTTGTAACAACGCTGCCAGCACCGACAACGCTGCCTTTTCCAATCGTGACTCCTGGCAATATGCAAACATTCCCCCCTATCCAACAGTCCTCTCCAACATGGATTTCCTTGCCGAGCTCTGGACCCTGGGTGCCGTTGCGAAGGGCCGGGTCAAGAGGATGAGTGCCGGAATAGAAGCTGCAATTTGGGCCCACAAGCGTACGCGAGCCGATGGTGATCAGACAAGTATCCAAAAAAACGGAGTTGAAGTTGATAAAGACGTTTTCGCCAAGACGAACGTTGTAGCCATAATCCATTGCCATTGGCGGCTCGATCCATGGGTCATTTTCGAAAAGCTTGTCGTCTTCCTCTGCTGTTTGTGCTTGTGGTGGTAGAGGTGTCTTGTCCTGGATGACACTGAAGGCAAATGTGAAAAGAGAATCTTGTGGGACAATAGACACATACATACTCTCTGAACAGCTCGGTAAGTTTCCTTCGTGGCACGTCGCCAGCATTGTTGTACCTATTCCAGGCATGTTTGCACCTTGCTCGCTCGGCTACAAGTTCGGGCGTGAATGCATGGTAGAGCTCGCCCCTGGCCATTCGCTTCTTGTTCTCCGAAAGCTCCATTTCAACGTTGCACAAAATCAGGACTGTAAGTCTCAGAACACACCTCGTCAGGCTCGACGATGCTGGGGTCAGAGGCTGCGGGGATGCCCTGGACAGGCTAGGCCGATATGGGAATAGCGTGCGGATCTCGTGGGCTGCCGACTGGCGAGGCGCAACGTCAAGAACAATGGCAACCCTCTCTTTTTCCTCTGAGCCTTGCTATTGTCTTGCGTTGCGGCAACCCGCTCAGCGTTCCGGTAGCTGTGCAGTTTTCTCTTCAGCGTTGTATAAAGCCATGTTCTGAACACTGCCCTTCGCCTCTTCCTGACCGCATATCCAAGTCCCCGCATACAGCTCTTCCCTTCCCTACCTGCCGCAATCATGGCTTCAAATGGCTCATCCTCGGGTATCAACATCTCGTTACCTGGAAACCCGGGGAACGGAAATGGACCATGGGCCCCTGGAACAGGAGACAGGCAGCCCCCGAACGGAGCTCCCGCCACTCAGCCAAGGAACCCAAACATTATCTCTCAAGATTTCTATCCCCACGGCAAGCGCTCGCTGTCAGGCATTGCTGTGCGTGCGTTTTGCTTAGGTTCCGCCCTTGTTTCTGGCCTTGCTGGAGCTGCGATTCTCGCATATCACGGCAACCATCTATGGCGACCTTGCCTGTTCCTTAGCACGCTTGCTCTCTTCCACTTCCTCGAGTTCTATACAACAGCCGCATACAACACTCCAGTTGCCAAAGTTGCATCCTTTCTTCTCAGCAACGGTGATCAGTACCGCATAGCTCATACCATGGCCTTTACCGAGACAATCATCACATCCTATTTTTTCCCCGGCTACCAATCCTACATCCACCGACCATGGGTCATCGCAATCGGAGTCATTCTGATTGCAATTGGGCAGACTGTCCGCAGCATTGCAATGATACAAGCTGGCACCAATTTCAACCACATGGTACAATCGAGCAAGAACGATGGCCACGAACTCGTGACACATGGACTATATCACTACTTTCGACACCCCTCTTACTTTGGCTTCTTTTGGTGGGGCATCGGGACGCAGATCATGCTGGGAAATACCTTTTGCTTTCTGGCATACACTGCTGTTCTTTGGTCATTTTTCAAGAGACGCATTTTCCGTAAGTTTTACACTGTCCTGCACAGAAACCTTATCCGTGTTCTAATTCATATTAGATGAAGAGAAGCATTTACTGGAATTCTTTGGCAGTGATTATAGGGAATACAAGGCGCGAACGCGTGTCTGGATACCTTTCATATGAATCTTCAGAACAGACCTAACAAAACGTCTTAGGAGTGTTTGTGCTGCACCATGTCAATATCCGCTGCTTAGCTGTTTAGCCTTATAAATTAACAGACTAGTGTATATGGATGCTCTTAAGAGCGAGTTCCAAGTCAATTGAATATGCAGTCTTTTTTTGTCGATTTTTGTAGATAGTATCATTGTGTTGTGCAGTCGAAAAAATCGTCTTGACTATTGATACGCACTGAAGGAACAAGCCAGGATCTTGGGTAGCAGGTTCAAACTCCAGCGAGCAAATATGTGCCTCACTGTATCACAAATAATTGTCCAATTTCCGTTTGACGTGGTCTCTATTTTCCCACGACTTGCAGGCAACGTTTGTTCCTCGCAGAACCGGGGTTGTCCAGGTCATGCCAGCATTTCCATTTCGTTATGAGCCAACTCTGACTGTCGACATTGACGGCAAGTGGCAACTGCGACGTGGCTGCCCTGAGCCCTGCTTGGTTTAGTCAGACATGGCCATGCTGCAGTCACCTCGACTGCTAAAAGCCCGTGCCAATACAAATCCATCGGTCTCATGCCAAAAGACAGTGAGTCTCATCTGACATGCATCCATAACGATAGGAACTACCACGCTTGCCTAGAGGCGTGCATCTACGGAATTGAAAACTTTTCTGTTGATCGACGCAGTGATTGTTAGTCCACATGTCCTCTCACCTACTATATAATCTTGCTCACTGCTCGTTTTCACCTAGCCACATCACCCCCACACAGCACCACCAAAACAAGATTCCACACGCGTACGACGAGTGCCACTCACAGTGATCTGTCGTCTTCTGTGGAGCACTGCTCAACTTCATCACCTCCATCTCCTCTGCCATCACCCTTACCCGCGGGTTGTCGTCAACAAACAAACCCACCCCAGGCATCTCGTTTACCTGCAGCTATGCACCGCTCGCGATGGGCAGACCCGCCACCAACTGCTTCGAAAGGTGCCATGTCGCAAAGTGCTGCCCCCTTGACGAAACCAAGCAGCCCCGCTGTCCAGCCCGTCGCCAAACCGGGTGCGTTGAAACTCAAGAAGAGTGCCGTCAAGATTTTGGGAGCTGCTAGCCATCCAACTTCTCCTTCTACTCCATCTGCAGTGTCCATTCCACTACCGATGACACCCACCGCTTCTCTGTCAGATAAACTGGAGCCTTTGGTAGCTGAGTCGTGAGTACTCCGCCATTGTTGTGACTCAGAATCTCGCCGCTAATCCTAGTAATCGTAGGTCGATCAGTGTATCGACAATCTCCAACGCAAAGGCAGGCCCATCTCAGAAGGAGGATCCAAATTCTGAGGACACATCTGCACAGATTGATGCTCTTTTTGCCCGCCTGAACAGTAAGGACTGCAAGCTCTCTGCTCTCGCTACAGGCAGCAGCATGGCATTCGGAAACCATAAGAATGTGGCACCGATTGAAGGCCTTCCAAGCTCTACAACAGCTACTCCGGTCACAGAATCAACTTCCAAACAGACTACCACAGATGGCCTACCAAAGCCCGTTCAGGAAACGGAACAATCTACAGGCATCACTCAAGCGGAGCTTGAGAACGAGTACATGAGCAGGGCTAGCGCGTATATGGATGCTCTTCCGGATACCAAGGAGGGCACGCCACAGCTCATCAAGGTCGTCTCCAACAAAATGCGTGTGGTGTATAAACCACTCACAAGCATGGATACGAAAGAAAAGGATGTTCTCAAGGCAAGGTTTGCGTTTGCCATAGCCAACTACCTCAACAAAACCTTACGAAAAGGCCCAACGGAGTGCACGGCTTCTTTTATCAAACAGAAACTGGAGGACGCCGATGGCGACTTTCTCAAATTTTGCGCCATGCTTGTAGAAGAGAAGCGTATGTCGTTAGAGACACTGGATGATGTTACCGGACTGGTCAAGGCTCTGCTTGATATCCTTCCCAAGGTGGAATTGACCATTGTCCCAGACATGCGAGGAAGTAAGCTGGTGCTTGAGGATCCGGTCGACAGTATGAAAACATGGCCAACGGCAGAGAAGCGTAATGCCAGTGAATCGATCGCGCAATAGTTGATATGACCAGCGCTAACAATTCATAGCTGCATCTCCTCGTACATGTATCCTTAAGGGCGTCTCAGCCGTCACCAATATCAATCAGCTTCAGGCTTTAGTGTGGGGCGGAAGACTTGAGTCCATCTCTATGCCAGAGCCTGGCTCCTCGAACGCTCTTGTCAAGTTCCTCACACCTGATGGCTGTAAGAAGTATCATGCGGATACTATCAATGGCATAGAGGTTGTCGGAGACAAGAAATCGGCCGTGGTTTTTGTTGAGCTGGCTGAAGGTCCAAACTCCACCAACGATATCATCCAGGGTTGCATCGATAACGGCATGACTCGTTGTGTCCGGGCTATTGGAAAAGTAGACTACACCGACGCGCAGCTCATGGAACTTGCCAAAGGGAAGAGCCAGGTCAACAAGCGCGTGGTTGACCGCATCAAGCATGGGAAGAATGCCCGCGGCGTGAGTTGTTGCCTACCTTTATGCAGTTGCAAAATGCTAACTGTATTACTCTAGCATGAGTACATTGAATTCCGCTTTGCCAACATCTACCACGCACTCAGTTTCAAGCGTGAGCTTATGAACAACGAGGACTGGGGGCATTGCAACATCTCACACGCACCTGATCCATGCGAGCTTGCAACCGGTGTTCGCTACAAGGACAACGAATAAGGAACAGCCATCTTTGCTTCTTTACATGTACAGTGACGGATCGTGTTGGCTCCAAAGGGCAGTCGATACTTTGATCTGTATCACTGTTTCCGGGCTTGATATAATCAAGGTGCACGAAAGCCCAGAAGCAGGAATCAGCCTGTAGTGAAGGAGATAAAATGGCGGGAACGGAGACAAACGGAATGAATGCTATATAGGATGTAGCGATAACTAGTCATGGCATTCTAGGTGTGACAGTTCATTAAGCATCCTAGCCAGATAAATGCAGACTCGTAATCAGAATTCCCACGCGAGATCAGCAGCAGTAGTAACAAATGACCAAATTTGAATCTATGTGATTGAAAACAGGAATGCCAGACGCTCGGCAACCATTGCCAAAGAAAAAAAAAGGACGTACAAAAGACAAAGTCCTTTCTTTTTGTGTGTGCTACTACTAATACACTTCGAGATGCTCAATAAAGAACCAGCATACATGGTGGCGGCCCTCTTCCTTCCAGCAAAACCCCATGGTCGGTGGAAAGGAAAAAAAAGAAGGATGGATAAGCGTTTCCAGCAAGAAAAAAAAACATACTCCTGTCGAAACAAAAAAACCTTTGTTGAAACGCCTTGACTTGATACCCACCTTGTCGTGTTCGCTACTATTACTGCTCCGTGCTTTGATGCGTTAGGAAATTATCCCCTTCTACCGGTTCACAGCCGTGAAGCTCGCATCCGTCATTTCCGTATCGCCATTTTGCGGTGGGGCGGGAGCAGCAGCAGAGTCGGTCGTAGTAGCAGCATTAGGAGGTTGCTGCGCAGCACCCGAGAGCGCACGTCGCCTGCCTCCTTCCTCATCGTTAGCCGCAGATGCCGTTCGCTGCTCGTCATACGTAGGATCGAAGTACTGGCGCTGAGGCTGGGACTGGGACTGCGCTGGTTGCTGAGGCTGTAGCGATGGGAGCGAATGTAGGGGAGGCAGAGAAGGCGGGGGAGCACCATTGACGACGCTGGCTGGGGGACTCGCGGCCGTGGTGGCACTACCGGCGCCGACGGTGCTGAAGTAGTTGCTCTGCGATCGGCCGGGGTCTGGGGTGCTCTGCGCACTGCTGACGGGGTTCATGCTGTGCGATATGTGGCCTATGGCTCCTATCCTTCCCTCGGGCCCCAGGCGCTCGCCCTCGCCGCCTGCGGTACTGCTTGCGCCGCCGGCGCCGCCGCTGCTACTGCCAAGGGGAGGGGTGCCCTTTCTGTTGTGGCTCCGCTTGCTGCGCAGCGGCTTGTCGGTTGGGGTGGGTGGGGGGCTGCTACTCCGGTCGCTGTCGTCGACGTTGTATTCCATGTGCTTGTTGAGTTGCTCGAGGAGGAACGCGCGCTCGAGGCGCATCTTCTGGATTCCACGGTTCAGGCGGGTTATGCGCAGGCGCGTGCCATCGTTGTTGTCTTCAATGTCGGTTATCCGGCGCCGCAGATCGATGCATTTGCGGTAGTAGGCAGTTTCGACGGATGGAGGCAGGTCTTTCGAGGCGATTGCGCGGGATGCTAACGTGGCTGGTTAGTTACAAATGGTCTACTTGAGCGGAATGCGACGCGCCTTACGCGGTTGTGGCATCTTTGCGCTCTTCTTTTTTGTTGCAGTGTTTGAGGTGGAATTCCAAAAAGTCGCAATGTGGCCCCAATAGCTTGACGTGCGGTGTCGCGGGTGGGTTGAGTGGTTGGAGGATATGGGGTTGTTGGTCTCTGGGGCTGATGGTTGGACGCGCCCATGTTGAAGCTCGAACCTCTGTGGGGCCGACGTTGTTCCGAATAGCCTCACCTCCTGTGGCAATCTAGCCTTGGCATCAACACCACCTATCTTTATGCGATCTATGTGAACTCTTCATCTTCTCGAACCAGGCTGCCTTGGTATTGCAGTAGCATTCATGTGCCTTCTTCCAGGTCACTGTACCCTCAAACGTCGACATGTCATCTCACCATGTCAGACCAAGCGTGTACAAACGTAGCCAAAGGCGTGATCGGTCATGTCGCACATTTTCAAATGCCTCAAATACCTAGCAAACTTGATCAAATACATTAGGATACTCGCTCACCGGACTTGAAATAGGCGTTAGGAGGTCTGTGAGATAGAACCGGGTGCGCTTATCCCAAATAGGATACCGACTACATATGCATATCAAACTGCATGTGCATATCACCGGACGTTTGGCTGACTCAGAGGTGCTTTCGCGCTGAAAAATCGTTCACTAACGGAGAGAAACTGGTTTCTTTGACTACTTATTTATACTCCCACTCCCAGCCCCGTCTCGTACTCGACGTTTGGGAGGCTGCGACAAACAGTACTATATTTGGCAGTTGTGCTACAGCCAGCGCAGCTACATAACACGATCTGATACTCAGTCAGACAGTCGAAACTCTTCCTCAAATAAGCTCCCTGCTGTACGGTTATAGCCGTGTGTTGTGCAAGTGGACCCGCTGAATAGTGTTTGGTCGGCGGGACTTCGGATTGCTTAAAACGCCTCGCTGGCAATCGATCGATACCACGTATGAAGATTCCAATCTACAGAGATTAGAGTAGAGAAAAGATAGGACCAGCAAATCGCGAGATGAGGTGATAATGGAAGTGCGGTGTGGCTTTGGTTCTTCATATGCAGAGTGCACAAAACTAGATGATCTTGACTGTACAAATTTAGTAACCTGGTCTAAATATGCTGCCATTGAAAATCAGTTGGTATATCTTGGAGCACAGAATATCAAAACCGCCATCTAGTGTTGCTGTCAACGGTACTAGCAGACATGTCGAGTGATTCTTCAAAAGGATACACGTAACCGACTCCATACAAGCTACGAGGCGGAATAGGCGTGGAGTGAACGGGAAAAGGAGGGCGAAAGAGTTGTGAGATATGCTCCTTCAAATGACTGCAGATCTGAAAATGTGAGTTATTCTTTACTCATGAGTCGCTAGTCTTGCTCTTTTAAGGATTCTTATTGGTTATCAGAGAAGACAATGTGTAGGGAACACCTCGATCCTCAGTACTATGATGTTAAACGAAGGCTGAACCCTGGATCTGGCAAATTCCACCATGTTCTCTCAGTGTCCGCACATAACTTAACAATGGGTCACGAGTATTTACAAATTAGTCCCGTGAAGCTTGGAATGTATATTTGCCCTGACTCAGTACATGTTTTAGATACGCACAAATTGCCAATGTGGTTTCCCAGCAGGTACTTTGCCAAAAATCATTCTTTTCTGAACCGCAGCACCAGGGCCAGAAACGGGTATGATAGATTGTTTGCCGCTTTCATCTCGTCGACTCTTTTTATACAGCCGTAACCAAACAGCGTCGGCATTGCTGCATGCAAGCGCTTGGCGTACGTTCTTACTTTCTAGAACTGGGTCTAGCATATCCAGTATCTCTTCAAACCGCTCAGCTCGGACGGTGACGTGTTCAGCGATAGTACACAGCAGCTTGACAAGGCTATTCCAGATCATGCGCGAGGGTATATCAATGTACACTTCTGGTCGCGATAGTTCGGTAGTGGGATTCGCAGATATTGAAAGACTCATCATATCGGTCTCTATTCTGCCAGCACGCACTGCTTGCGTGCTTTTGATAGTGCTTTTGTTGATGCCGCTTTGCGTATTGGTACGTTTATGCACCTTTTGTATAAGATGCCATGCGTCGTCGACTCTTGTCCTCATGAAATTCCCCGCGTGTTCGCATATAAGCGCTATGGTATCGAGAGTACTAGATACGATGTATGCCTCGGGATCTTGGAGTCGAGGGAGCAGTACAGGCCATAGAGTGTTGATGAGCGGTAGAAATGAGTTCTCATGTTTGGCCAGCGCAGGCATGGTGGTTTGGAGGAGGGACAGTAAAGAGTTGCGTAGTGAAGGAGAGGTGGTCGTTAAGTAGTGTTGTGTCAACTCGGAGATCTTGAGGAGGATGTTGAAGGTGCGAGGTGCTGGTGGCGGGGGCTCTTCTGTCTGAGGTGGTGGATGCTCGTCCTCTTCACTGGGATTACCGTCAGCATCTTCTGGATTTTTCTCTTCTTTCCAAGGATTCTGAGGGAAAGACTCTCTTGGAGCTTTCTTCTCTTCTTCATCCCGGCGTCGTGAATCAGCTTCTAGCTTTTTGAGTGTTTTCATGACATCAGCCATTGTGGGTTCCATGCTCTGCTTGCCTTCGTGCTGTCTACTGCTATCCGATTTGATTGCAAGTTGAGACGTTTTGACGCCTTCTTCCGTCATGCCTTTCAACACCGAGAACAACAGTTCTGCTAGCTTGGGATATCCGTGATATCTTTCCAAGGCTTCAAATATACTGTCAACAAGATCGTCAAGATATGGGAGGAGAGATGGACCACACAACCGCATCATCATGAGCAAGACTTGCGGAGCTTGGGGCGAGACATCTCCATAAGCAAGTTTCAGACCGACTGCGTTGACAATGTAGTCGACGTTTTTGACGACCAGCTCTCCTGCATTTGCATACCCGGATTCATCTGCAACAATGTTCAAACATGTCAAGGCATGCTCGCGCAGAGCCGTATTGGAACTTCCCATGTGGTGCAGTATTGGATAGAGAACTTCGCTCAGCTCGGGCCGAAACTCCGTCTTGTACTGTTTAGCCTGTAATGCTACTGTCTCCAGCGCCAGGGCGAAAAAATGCCAGAGCGTCTCTGTCGCTGGCTCGCGCTGATTTAGTAAAGAGAGGGAATGCGAATACAAATGGTCCAACAGCTCTTCCCTTGGATTTGGCGTTCCAAGATCCATGAAATCATCGATTGATGGATTGATTGCAGCCGCCTCCCTGACCAGATTGATTGACAACCAAAAGCTAGCCAGGCGCATTTCAGCCGTCCCCATATCGATGGAGCCTAGGAGTGCCTGCACTACTGCCAGAGCTGAGCTGGACTTTGCAATCTCTTGGACTAAAAGCTTGAACTCTGACATCATGTCATCCTGGCCTTTGAACTGCAAGCTGATGGACGGAAAGGATAACGATTTCATGGAGTTCAGAGCG